GGCGTGATATTCAATGGAATGGTATTTTTTCAAGATATTTTGTCTTTCATAAATTTTTGTTCCAAAAATAAAATCTTAATGATAGTTCTGTTTGTTTAATCACAAATTTTGAACCACTTCAACTCAATATATAAATATCATTCTTAAAAGGCTATGTTAAAAAAAAATCTTACGAGTACTTTTCTTTTCAAGCTGCTTTTTACAAATTGAGAGCATTGGTTCTGATAGGATTTGCATTATTGTTTAGTCATTCTTCTAATTGAAGACCTCCATAAATGTTTGATTTATATCTGTGGGAGCAGTTGTGGTTTTTCGTCTTTTAGGTATTGGCACAAAAACAAATATTATGGAAATATCTATTCCTCGCAAATTACGAAAATACTGTAAATAACTTAAATCGCGTTTTTAAGCATTGTATTGACGTTTACGCTTTGAATTTTTTTTTTTTTTTACAGCTGTGTAATCTATTTTGTGCATTTTAACTTTAGGCTTATGATTTCTTACCGAACAGAATGAAACTGCTAAACTAAATTGCCGACTATTCTCAGTAGTATAACTTCACAATTGATCGTATCTCCATTTAATATTTAGTTTCTTTTCTTTAACACTTCATACCTAACTGGTTCGTCAAAAGCTCGCAAACCACTGTTGCCGTAACTCGGTCAAGGCTATGGGTGAAACTTTTCTCGATGTTTATCTCAGTTCAAAGTTCGATTCAATTCTTCTTGGTTTGGGCAAGCTATGAAACTACCAGTAAAGGCGCGTTAAGTTAGGTAAAATGTCTTTATCTTTGTATTTCTTCTATAAATTTACCGTAATAGTTTGTTCATCGACTCGTCACCCCACAATTCCAGTCAACTCGTTTGATAAACGTTTTGAATTTTAACACACTTAGTCGTATTTGCTAATTGAACTGTAATTTGTCTTATTTTTGTTTCGCCCAAGTGATATTTGCCATGAGATTGTTATATTTTTTGTCTCTGAAAAGATATTTGCTTTGAACAAAATATTCAAATGATTAATTTTTTAAAGGAACTTAAGGAGGACAATTTATTTTTCATCATGAAGCACGCGAGGTTTACAGCCTTCTAATCTGATCAATCGAGCGATTCTAAATATTTTTGAAGCAGTTGTTGTCGCTTTTCTTGTTGTTATTGTTTTTCAAAAAGAGTATTTCCTACTTGAACCTGGAATTCAACTCATTTCAAAAGCTTGTCCCTGTCTTGTGATCGGAATGAAAATAATGCTTTTTAGATTTTCTTGAACTCATAAAATACGAGGTCAGTATTTGCACGGACATATTTGATGATAGATTTATGTATGGTCAAAAATGATGAAAAATGGTCCTCTTAATGACAAGATATCCTTCCTTTTTAGGGTCATTGCTTTTTTTTAATTGTCATGTTTTCAAAGTTGAGGACAAATTATACGTTATTACGTTTTGACTGAGATAAGAGAAAAAAATCAATCCTCAGTTGTGTTAAGATGAGCCATATTGTTTTATATGAATCAATTTTCATTTAATTCTCTTCCGGATTTTTAGCGTTTTCTCGCAAAAACTAAACAATTGGAAAATTATTTGATATTAAGCTTCAAAGGAAGAGTGTTTCCGTACTTACTGAGTGAATGCCACATAGCAACAGTATCCAAAACAAACTGCTCTTTAGCACAGAACGATACCCTGTCTCAAAAGAACAAAAATGGAATGACTTAACAATTTTGTTGATGTCGTGCATGAAGTATCCGTTTAAGACACTTCTAGATCTCACGAAATACTTGAATTCAAGGGTGCGCCAACATAACGTACGTCTTGAAACACTTCCTATTTCAGGGATTTTTTTTAATTCGTGCAGAAGGAAAAATCTAGAATAGAGATATGCTTTTTTGGGGGATTCTTGCTGAAGTGGAAAGACCACGTGGAGCCCCTTGAGCAACCTAGTTGTAAAGGTTTTTGGACGTTATTAAATGGCTGCTCCTATCTCAAACCCTTTGAAAAAATGGTATCGGAAGACAATTCCCTGCCTAAGTTCACCGCTTGCGGCTGAAAATTCATCTCCCAGCCTCAGTGCAGCGATTCAGTACCTGACCAGAATCGAGTTATTTCCATTAGTGACTACTGTTGAACTATTTGGTCCGAAATGAAGTTAGACATGTGTTTGACACCACTTAATATAACTCTCGCTCTTCAGTGAAGCAGACTTCAGTCGCCTCACTAAGCTAACTTCAATTTACTTCGTAAACAAATCACTGCTGGGCCTAAAACATCGATTCTTTGCTAAATGTACAGTTTCTTGTAGATAATCTATGGGTAATTTATAAACCTGTGAGTACTGTATTAGAAAGCTATTATCCGGCTTAGCATTGGGCAGGCAGCTGAAAATTCAGCTCCCAGTGTTGACATGGTGGTGACCCATCCAGATTCAACGGATTGCTATGAGCGACAACTGTAATGAAACGTATTCATCAAAAAAACTGCACTATTTCGTATGAAATGAAGTCAGATATATGTTTGAAACCACTTGATATGACTGTCGCTCTTCATTGAAGCAGACTACAGTCGCCTCGCTAAGCTAAGTTTAATTTACTTCGTAAACAAATCGCTGTAAGATGAAAAACATTGATCCATCGCTCAGTGCGGTTGCTTCAGTTATGAAGGAACAGAAAAAATTTTCGTCTTAGAAGAAAAAAACTTCAATGCAGCAATATTTAGTAGCATTATTACACTGTTTTTAGTTGCATTAGTCTTGCACTGCTTTGAGTTCGAAGCATTTGCGATATAACTCTGGTATGTGATATCTAAACCAACCGATCTTAACTTTTGTACAAAAAAACAATATCTGAAAAAGGAACAAGCTCAGTATGTTTTTTTTTTGTTGAGGATATTGTGAGAATAAAAGAAAACTAAGACCTCCTCTCACCCCATGGAAGGTTCTTGCAAAAACATGTTTGTCATCTCCTGAAACTTACTCTACATCTTGTTTGTGGCTAGATTGGGGCTGAAAGCATTTGAAATTCAATAATTCTAAACAGTTGCAGATGAAAAGATTATATTTTTTTGACAGTAAATCAAACAACCAATTCTGAGCCCATTCGTGAAAGAAAACGTCAATTTTGTGTATTTGCATCAACCCTTCAGTTAAGTACTCCGTGAAAGCAGATGGAAACATACAAATTCTCCATTCTAGACTCTGTATAGTTCCTACAGTCCTTGTGGGAGAATTTATATATTGAGATGCTCTCGTGACCTGACAGTGCAACTTTGTATATTGGTGACATAAGTAAAATTGGATAACGATCCCCTTTTAAGGCCTTAATGATTAGAGAACAAAGTCCACAGAACAAAAAGGCATTAAATTCACTCTCCCTAACCTTAATGGCAAAAGCCTTTTCTAAAGACAAAAATGGAATCAATGTGGTTTACCGTCTGCTGTCAAATGAACTCTTATGCTCTCAAAGCTTAGTTTTGATATCCGGTAGCTTTTAAGAAATACTTCCATTTGGGCTGTAAGAAGCAATATTTGCCTCAGGTTTCCGGAATTTAGAATACTCCTTCTTTTGCCATACTCGAATCACACCCAATATTTTCAAAACTGTGCAACAGCGCACCTTTAGAATAACTTGACTAGTTTTAAGGGCAATAAATGTTCTCATTGAGTGTTCATCCTCTATTCTTGCTGGCAAAATCTCACATATAGACTACCTGTTTATTTAGTTTCAATTCTGCAATTACTCTCGCGATAATGCTATCGATTTGTTTAGTTTGTGTAAACTTCCGTGACATACTTTGAATTTATGGTGTTGGTGATACCAACTAAATATTACCTTTAATCGTTTACCAATATCATCTTTTATCGACGTGCGTACGTGATTTTTCTTTTTACCCCTACACGAACGTCTATAAATTTCTCATTTGACTCGAATGTTCCCTTTTTTTTTAATTTCTCACGAAGTGTACATCGCATGGATTCTGTTTATCAGCCATCACGAAATTTATCTTTTCGGTTGATAAATATTCGTATGCGAGCCGAGCAACGCTTTGTTCCTGTTGCGTGCGGAGATATCAACAAAGTGAAAGCACTTTCTAACTATCTCTCGCAGCTGGATCAGGATATTCCTGACATCTGAGTGCGGTCTCATAATATACAACGTAGTTATGAAGTAATTCTGAGATCATTTTAACGTTAAATATTAAAACGATGTTAACGTAGTGAGCTGGGCACGAAAATTTGAAATTATTAAAAAACACAGAATTAAAGGCAATGAATTAGGGGTTTATTTTGAAATCAAGAAAAAATAACCTTGTTACTATTTCTAGAATTCATTAACGCGGAAAAAACGTGCGAAAAGTCATTCTTTGTTTCCTGGATTTAAATGCCAGACTTGTAATTTTCTAGACAATGCACTAATTAAATGGATAAAACCAAGTAAAAGATCAAAATATACACACTTTTTAAAGCACTTATCGCATTCGGTTTAGTGATGTTGCTTACGAATGATAAATAGATTACCCACGAGGGGGGATTACTCGGAAAATAGGGGCAAAGACTACAAACACGCAAGCCAGCCAAAACAATTCTCAAAAACTCCTGTTGTGTTAATCTGCGTCTTAGGAAAAGTAAAAAACACAAAATTAAATTGAAAAATGTTGTCATCCGAGTTTTTCCATTGACGGGGATGTTGAGTGGTACCCATGCGTGCAACCCCGGGGATCACATTCTTGTTCCCACTTCAAATATAAACGCTATAAATATTCTCCGCATGTGGTCGTAATGTTGCAATTCCCACGATTATCCACCTCTCCGTAAGAACAAAAGACCGCTCGAAAGTTGCCATATTGGCTCGGTCACGTGATAGCCTGGCCGAGCGTTTATAAACTGAAGCGCTAAGAGCGAACGTTACAGTGCCTTGAAAAGCAGTCTAAACACTACTTGACTGAGATATCTGTACTGAAAGTTGTCTGTTATTGCTTGTTCATTCAGGAAATCACTTGCAGAAAAACCATGTCAGCGTTTAGTCCTGTATCGAGCTACGAGAAAGCCTCAGATTATTTTCCGTCTGTGCCATCTGTGAGCACAGTAACATGGCCTAGCGCTGTTCCAACAGCGTTTGAACTTGGACCGTGGTACTCGTGGGGGTTACCACACTCCAAGCTGAACTGTCACGGTCCTCCCGCACCAGCAGCCGTCGCCCCGCTCGATTACACAAGCTTCTGGCCTACAGTTCCTTCCTTGGGAAGCTGCGGTTTCTTCCTCCCCTCGGGAAGTTCCTTAGCTAGGTCGTACGAGAAACCTAGCCAGTCGTACATTGGGCTCATTGCAGAAGCAATCCTTGGCTCACCGGAGAAGAAACTTGTCCTTAGTGACATTTACAGCTATATCCTGACACGGTATCCATACTTCAGGACCAAAGGAAGCGGATGGCGAAACAGCATTCGCCATAATCTCTCTCTGAATGACTGCTTTATCAAAGCTGGTCGCAGTCCAAACGGTAAGGGACATTTCTGGACGATTTGTCCTATGTACTACGAAGATTTCTTACATGGGGACTACCGCCGAAGAAGGTCTGGTAAATGTCTCAAGCTGGATCTGAAATCAGAGCGACTCCTAAGCGATTCACACCGTTACTTTGCACTTTTTAGCGAAGAACCAAAGCCGAGTGTGCTCGCTCAAAGGGAAACATCTCCACCTAGATATGAACAACACGAAAGAGACGTACACAGAGAAAGAGAGATTGATTGTGAAACAGTCGAACAATCTTCTTCTGAGCATGAAAGAGAACGAAGAAGAGGTAGCTTTGACGTACAAAGCTTACTTTCCGCTCAAGTTTAAGATAGAACAAAGAGATGAATTAGGGGCGAGAACATAATTTATATCTAACGTCTGGATTATGATAATTTAATTTTATGTATTTAGTATCAGACAAAGTTGAATTCAGAGAATTCAGGCTACATATTATCTCAGAAAAAGGTTTGCCAGATTCTGGTGGAGTAATATGATGAAGTATGAATAGGGAAAATTGGAACAAGACATTCCGTCTTTCGTTCTGAGTCTGTTATCGACGGCGCACTTTTGTGTTGCGTGCGTACTATTGATATTAATTCATGAACACAACTTGAAAACCGCAAATTGCATTTGTTTATGTAAGTTTAACGATCGCGCGTATTGTCTTTTAATTCCGGTCTATTCTAGGCTAGAAATCATTATTTGTATTATAAAAAAAATTAAGATTATCATGTTATTACATGGTTGACAGCTTGTGAGCTATGTATTGAAGAATGGGGAAAAGAAAATTAAAAAAATACGTGTAACAGAGAGCATTTTGACATTGTTTTGTTTTTAGTGAGTTCAATATTGTCACTAATAGAGACATGAAGCGACTTTGAACACATGACAGGCTTTGCTGTTGAATATTCTTGAACATTGGTACCATAGATTTATCCTGTTATTCTCAAGGATAAACTTTTCTGGTTTACAAAGCCTTTTGTCTAGCTAATTTCCCAACCAAGTGAGAGTTTGCAAAATTGTAGAGAGCTTTAAAAAGATTACTACAACCCACTAAATCGAGTTTATCAATAGAAGACCTAGCTATGTATCAACATTGGTCGAGACGTTTTACAATGTTGAACAGAATAGTGTTCTTGAAAACGTTTTAAGACGGGGGAGATATTTTTATCGCGTCAAACACCAAGGTTTTGGATAATAATTTTCCCCATCTCTTCTGTCAACTAAGAACCTGAGAGGTATAGCTCCATGCGCATGAGCAATGTGACTTCTACAGCCTCGTTTTCGTTCTTATTGCCATTACTTGCACGAGGTTTCTAAATTAGCAGAATTTGAGATTAGGTGATTAAGGTATCTCACTTTCCTTGAAGGATTTCCTTTAAAGCTTTGTGATTTACTTTTTTCAACTGGCTCAGAGGATTGATGAGATGACAGGAAACTGAAATGCTACGTCGACAGGAAAGTCAGAGGGCTAAGCGCATAAGCTGAAGCTGTCAGTAGTTTATCGTAATCATTAAAGTAATGTGGCCTAAAGGATCGCTTATAAAGATGCCCTGTTCATTTAACCCCCTCGTCCTTGCTAAGAGGTTATAATCAAGACGTGGTTTATTTTAGTTTCCAGCTGAGCTTAGAAAACCAGCACACTGCGGACATTCAAAACGTCAATGTATTTTCTCTTGTTAAAAAACCGGTTTACGGTCTTGACATGAAATATCATCAGTAGACTATTTTTAGTCAAAATTGCCTACTCACGTTACCTTTTAAACATATAGTTGATAATTACTTACTTAAGTAACTTAGTTCTTACTACAAGGTCCTGTATCATGCCCAGGTATAGTTTTGATTGACAAAGGAGTTTCAAAACAATATGAATTGACCTGTAGGGGACATCAAAACACGGAACAGTATTGAAATTTTACCATACCGAGTAAAACTTAGTTTCAAGGTGAATGCACTTAGTTTAAATGTTTAGTGTACTAGCAAACGGTTATTAGATGATGCGGTTTTTAGGTCGTAGGATGAAGAAGTCTCTTATCTCTCCTTGTCATTTTAAGTTGTTTGTCACCTGAAATATTTTTCAGTCAATAAACTCGGTTTTAGTTCATCGGGTTCCTTGCGTGATGTAAATTACCTCCCGCACAACCAAAGAATATTCAAACCTTAGTCTTCAGAACGATCGATTTCATTTTACATGCATGCTTAAGTTAATGAGCTCGTTAACACTCGCAAAGAAAACGGTTACCTAAGTATTATTTCGCGTGAAATCTTAGATCATGAAGACTCTATGTTGATATATCGCATAGTAGTTCTGTAAGAAATATTGAAAACTTTCTATTTAATCCCTCTTGAAAGGTCGTGTAATATTAGCTCGGGTCACCACTTCAGATCGTGAAAAGGGTGGGAAAGGGTGGGGTATTAGATACTTAACAAGAGTTTGAAGTACCGAAGGCCTTAAGACTTGTGAACGAAAAGCAAAAGCAATGGCATACAACTAACAAAATCACAGAAACCAGATAATAAACTCTCTGAGAATCTGCTACATGTTTAATTACTCGTAAGTCAAGAAAATTCATTCCAGACCAATCTATTACTAACACATTTAAGTGGCCTTTCACAAAGTACGCTGCATAAGCCAGTATTCACTTCCTATCGCAGGAAACTTAGCCCAACCTCCCTTGTTTCCATCTTTCCTCTTTAAGGGAAACCAACGGGCGGTTCACGGTCAGCCTTTCCGCATTGAGGTTTAATTTCCGAAATACAGGCCAGCCTCCCTGTGACCGACCACCTTAAATGGTAGTTATGGAGGTCGCTTTCATGCAGGAGGCAGAACTATAGGGGGCAATTGTTGTGCCATATTTTGTAGTAGTTTCAATTGCTTTCTCGTTACATAAGTGTGTCCTTTCCAGAAGTACTCACACTGGGAGGTTAGCGATTATCACTCCATCAGAGTACCTGACGAAGGAATTTATTGATTGGATTTGTGATCGAAGTTCGTAAATAGACTTTCCTAAAAGTAAGATGTCCTATTTTCACTATCTATATCCTCTCCATGTGCACTTTTAATTAGACAACCACAGACATGTTTTTTAAACTTCTCACAAAAATTGTTCGAAAAATTATTATAACAGATATAGGCATCTATCCTAAAACTTGTATAATTCACTTTTTATGATATCTTAGCGGCAGCTGTCACTCACGAGCACATATAAAGAGAGATATGCACTTTCTTGCACCGTTTTTGGCCTCACGAATATTGAGTGATGCTTTGAACTGTTGACATCTCTTGATAGACGGTTAATCGTTGACGTTGTCAAGAACTACTTTAAAAATTAAATCTTGTCATTTTCTATCCTAACTATAAAGAGCAGGTATCAGATATTAACATGACTCTCATCTATCGCTTTTTCAAAATCGTTTGGAGGGTTTTTACACTTCATCCTTTTATTTATTTCATTTATAAGATTATTTACAGAATCTACATCTACTTAGTGTTATAACACATCTTACAATGTACAACATTATATTCTGAATTAACGATGCCACTTACAACTTGCAGCTTCGTACCATTACCTGAAATTCTAACTTTACTAACCATATATACCTAAATATTTTTTCTTCAAACTACTAGGGGTCTAAAACCTACACTTCATCCTTTGTAAAGCGTCTTTAATAGAAATCTCACAGTGATTGCAACTTTGAAAGAGAAACCTATTCAACAAAAACGCTTGTATTTTAAAGGCGTTCGGCTGTCAGACTATGCGTTATGGGCTCTAAAAAATTTTATTCGAAAGATGCAGCAACGTTTGAAGCTTATTTATATGAATTTTTTTTTCTGCTTAAAAATCACCTACATATGAATAAGAATATACTTAGAAAATAATCTCAGTTCCAATTGAAACTGGGCCCAGGTTCCTAGCTTCGTGTCTTTGCTGAATCCACGTGGGCTTATCTGCACCTTTGTAACCAATAAGCAGCCATGATTCGCGCACCCGGGTGAACACAGGGTCTACAGCTCCAACACTGCGCAGGGCACTTTCAGCGTCTGGGATGGTGTTCATGACACCGACATTTGCAGAATCGTGCACTGTAATCAGTACCATTACATTTTCCGGTAAATTGTTGATAAATGCGGTCATGTCTTCAGTTTCCGTTTCACTGGCGAAGGTGTCGAAGCTCTCACTCGCGTGAATTGATCCGTTGCCAGGATAAACTGTTACGATGTTGTGACCTCTTCTCTGTAAGCAAGAACTCATTCCATTAACTTATGCTTGAATTGTGAAACATCACCTCAGCATCACTCCGTCAGTACATTTACATTCTCCAAACACATTAAAATTTTCGGCCCTTTTCTAATTATGTGCCTCGATTAGTCTGACTACCCTTTGGATTATTGCAATAAAATTTGGTTGTGAAGATCCATCCCCGTGTTCCCCTTGTAATAATGCATCCCCTGTTCCCCCTGTTGTAATAATGCATCCCCTGTTCCCCCTGTTGCAATAATACATCCTCTGTTCCCCCTGTTGTAATATTTATCCCCTGTTCCCCTTGTCGTAATATACATCCCCTGTTCCCCCTATTGTAATTTATATCCCTGTTCCCCCTGATGTAATATTTATCCCCTGTTCCCCCTGTTGTAATTATCCATCCCCTTTTCCCCTGTTGTAATATTTATCCCCTGTTCCCAATGTTGCAATAATGCATCTCCTGTTCCCCTTGTTGTAATATTTATCCCCTGTTCCTCCTGTCGTAATTATCCATCCCCTGTTCCCCTGCTGTAATATTTATCCCCTGTTCCCAATGTTGTAATAATACATTCCCTGTTCCCCTTGTTGTAAGATTTATCCCCTGTTCCCCCTGTTGTAATATTTATCCTGTTCCCAATGTTGTAATAATGCATCCCCTGTTCCCCCTGTTGTAATATTTATCCCGTTCCCAATGTTGTAATAATGCATCCCCTGTTCCCCCTGTTGTAATATTTATCCCGTTCCCAATGTTGTAATAATGCATCCCCTAATTCCTTTTTGTAATAATGCATCCCCTGTTCCCCCTGTTGTAATATGTATCTCCTGTTCCCACTGTTGTAATTTTTATCCCCTGTTCCCCAGTTGTAATAATGCATCCGCTATTTCCCCTGTTGTAATTATGCATCCCCTTTGTTCCTCTGTACCTACTTAGTAGAAAGAGTGATTGATGGGACCGATGAAAAACTATCAAAGATAGCAAAGCTCGTTTACTCTCTCTTTCTCTCTTTCTCTTTTTATAAAAAATGATCATTCATCGATCGTCCTATTCCGCAGATGCTTGAAATTCAGGTTTAGTTATTTCATCTTGAAAGGATACTCTGCTAGTACGGAGACTCTCTTTCTCAAGCGCGCTTTCAGATCTTGCTTACGGTTTGAATAATGCAAGTCTGTGTTTTTCACTTTCTCCTGCTCGACGGACTAGACTAGGAATGAACGGAAACTCGCGTTCAAAGTGTACCAAGGAAACATCATATGCGTGCCAAATCGCATCAAGCTCAGGAGTTTCAGTTGCGAAAGGCGAACTAGGTAACATAACACAAACGCAAGAATACTTACCTTTTTGCAATGATTTACCCCGTTGACTTCGATGACCGTATCACCAAAAATACTCCTACCTCCTAGCTGGTCTTTGGTGCCAAACGATTTGATAAAAATACGGAGGACAGCTATAGATATAAAAAGTTAATTGTGTTCATTTACTTATGTATCACTCCTGTTTCTAAAGAAGTGAAAACTTGTTGCAATTTGGAGTTAACAGAGTCAAGGCCCCTACCCTTAGTACTACCAACTTTTTTAGGTCGTTTCTCTTGACAGTTCGAAAGTTCGAAGTCAACTCGCTTCTAATCAGAAGTCCTTTCGACACAAATCAAAAGTTGTTTCGCTTCAACTTCACACCAAACTCAAACTTCATTAAACAAATCTTTTTTCATGTCTACGACGCAACTAGACATTCCGTCGGGTCTAAAAAAGTTCAACCATCCACGCTTGGAGCGAAACCACCAACGTTTATGACGAAAGGACTTTTGATTTTACGAAAATTGATTTCGACTTGCGGCGAAACAACTTTGTAACGGAATGACCAGAAACTGATACTTACATTGGCCACGAAAAGTCCCTTTAGAGAGTGGTCAATTTTTATTTTACGTGCGTCAGACATTGAAGTTTCTAATTTTTTTTCTTTCAAGTCCTCATAACCTCTTCTGTAATGGTTTTTCCGTTCTTCAAATATATCTTGAATATGCTATACCTTTTTCACACTTCTCGCCAACGAATCCTGTTTTGTTGCACACACATCTGTACCCTCTGTCAGTAAAACCGGCTTGACAAAGAACACTGGGATGCTGACAAGGAGAACTGGCGCAAGGGTTCTGTAGATAAACACAACAATTTTTTTCACATCATATCACCTTTATTTCACCTTGGATTTACAAGAGTAGCTGTACAGCCAATTTCTCCGAGAAAGAGGAAAAACATAAAAATAAAATCGTATATTATATACAGTACATTAACTACTATCTACATAAGTAACAATTGCATTAATGTTCGAAAGAAATTTGGCATATTTTAGTTCTGAACTCATTCAAAGACGTTAATTAATGACCTTAGGTCCTCTACTAGTTTGTTCCACATGTTTGCAGAAGTGTATCTGAAGGAATGAAGACCATAAGTGGTCGTGTTAACGTATGGGATAACAAGTTTCCTTGATCCTCGTAGTTGCGTTCAGTATTTCTCATCAGAAAAAGACCACGTATGTACTTCGGCATCGTTTCACACTGGATTGCCTTAAAAAATGTTTCATCATGTCTTGGCGCCTGATACTATACATATCACTATCATTGAAATTGCTCCTGATAGTGCAGAAACTAAACAATGAGAGCTTCCGTGACAGGACGCGTCCGATATTTCAACCAGTGTATGCTGAATGCTTGTCAATTATGGTCCTAGCAATGACACAGCCTCGTCATCGTGTTTTCTGGAGCTCAGTGCAGCTACCGATAACGAAATCGCAACTGATAGAGCCTCCGATTCATGACAGTGGACTAATTAATTTAACATTTTGTGTGGAAAGTAATCCTCGACTGCGTTGTTTTTGCTTCACTTTGCTCTGTGATTGGTCCAAAAAACTCGCGCCATTCTCTCTACCAATCAGTTCCGTCAAAAGTAAAATCAATCGCGTCTTCGTCATTCGCGTTTTACCGCTCCACAGGCAGGTTACTCGTTGTTATTTGAGTCCTCATTGGCTCCTTGTTATTTTATTATTTGCTCTGATTGGCTGTTGCAGTTGTGTTAGTTTTCGTTATAAAACACTGACTAAATGGAAAAGTGCTCTAAGGTTTAAAATCGTATTAACTCTGAAATATCGCTTCATTACCATGGCAGAGTGGCTGCTTCCGAAAAAAGAGAGTAGAATCCTGATTGGGATTTTAGTGATCAGAGTGATATGTGATCAGAATGATATGACTCGAGAATTTACTACCTACTCATAACTTAAAAGCAAAGTTATGAAGGTACCTACTTTTGATGAAGTGTAGAGATGATTAAAAAGAGCCGTCAGTTAAATCTCACAATAGATTCAATGATAGGAATACCTGCACTGAGTTACTGAGAGGGAATCTTTAATCAGCTGAAATTTTCTGGTCAAAAGTCCGGTAATTTAGCAGCGAACTTTAACAAATTCAACAAACCTGACTATTAGGTTTTCCTGATATACAAGCGAGGTCGACTTGGACCAAGTCGACAATTAGGCCACAACTTATGTATTAATTGCGCGTTTCTTTCTTTGCGCGTTTCTCACACTTTGTCAGTGGCAATTTTCAAGCCCCTGTTGTAGTATGGCAATAGTTTGAAGAATTCTAGGTCTCTCGACCAAGGAAATGGAGCGGTTTTAAACCTATATACATATTTTTTTCCAGCTTGGTAGAAAATGAAGGATAGTATAGTAATTGCAATTTAATGATTTAAAATTTAAGATCATTAGGACCGTTTCTGATTGATAGGCATATCGATGTCGGCACTGTTTCTATGGTAACCTAATGTGTCATAAAATTGATCAAAATGTATCATAGATAAGTTGACATTCTTCTCACACTATTTTTAAGAAAACAGGCGAAAATTGATTGTGATATTTATTGATCCATCAAAGAGTTTTTAGCCATCTTAACAAATGTTGCAAACTAAGTGACAATTCTATAAACAAAATCATTTATAAGTTAAACTTACTTCTATGAATGAATAGGTGTAGTTAATCACATCCTCTAGATCGTTTGGCTTCTGGGTATGGTCTTTGTTGTTAAGATCACATTTCCCTGTAGACGCATAGTTAACTGAAACACAGTTGTCCTCCAGGTAACATTTCAATCTACAATCTTCATTGTCTTTTGCTCTGACGGTTCTTAGCGTGTGGCCTTGCAAAGCCTTATTTTTCCAGCGATGCTCGAAAACGATTTGTCTACAACCTACAAAAACAGTAGAAAGTTTTTACATCATTTTCGACAATTAAACATATTTACGTTAGCCCCTTCGTCTCTAATCGCTCTGACGAAGGGCTAACGCTCGAAACGTCAGCTTTTTTACCCTTTACGGTGGCTAATTTACGTTTTCAACCCAGTTGTTAACACTAAATTACCTGCTATACTCTCCCACCGACGCACCACCACAGTTTCTTTAGAAACTTACCCCTTTATTTACGTGTGAAAACGTGTTTTCAGTCACACCTGAACATTACTGACTAATCAAATAATATAGGTATAGCCTAGAAACAAGTTTGAGCGCGAGTCGAAAAGGTGCACGCGTGTCAAATGCGTGTTACACGCTTTTCCTATAACGATTTCGTATATACACTTCTCGTCATTTTGGCGTCCGTCAGTCTGCTACCTCATGTTGTGCATTTAAAGAACTCAACCTCAGTTTTCGATACGTTGCGAGTTACTTAGAATAAAAGAGACATGCTTGAGTGACTTATGTTTACTACTTACCCCTCCAGCTTCTTTGCAATTAGTTTATTCAACTCTTTATTTGCATCTCCATGGATTCAAATTTTCTTTCGGGAACACTTATCATTATGTACGTCTGAAGTATATAGGGGCCTTTGCAGGACTTTTCGTGAATTGCCTGGCTCAATTTGTTTTAGCTATGTAATCTATTAATCGATAATATCCTCATTTTTGTTTTTGTCATGATACAGGGGATGTATGCCATTACAAGAAGTTATAGTCAAACGTTAATTCTCAAGATAAAAAAAACACTGTTTTCTGATGGAAGAACCTGTGAATTTCAATGAATAATATATCACTGCACGACAGGCGTAAGATTCAGTCAATATTATTTCTTTCAAAGAATTTAAGTCATCTGCTGTCATCATATTAGGGCACAGAAAGAGGCTTTGAGAATGTCATCCACGAGTTCAAAATATGAACCTCTATATGAAAACCGCGATTGTGCTCGTTGAAGATGTCCACATTCCCCCCGATTACCTTTTATTAGTCATCATCAGTTCTGCGAGGGCCTAAATGGCAGGTGTTTAGTTATATTGTCTTTCTGCAAAATACCATGCATTATTTTCGAGTATTTTCGGTTTTCATTTTATTTATGAACTTATGTTAACCGAGGCGTTGAAACGGCGAAGGAGAAACTTCAAACTGCCTAGACATTTGCAAAAATTACCAGAAAAGGTTTAAAAAGAATGTACCGAGTTTATTGACATCCAAACTTTAAATCATCAATGAATGTAAATCTAGCATAAGAAATAAACGTCGTGTATTGTAAAGTAAGTTGAGAAGTGATGACAACATGTAGAGAGATGTTAGTTTGGGAATAACATAGACTCTCCCAGCCATAGACTTGTCAATTCACTCTGCATGTTTTTTTCATTTCTTTAGTATCCCAAAGAATTCACGTCACTTTGACGCCTATAGATCAAATTTGCTGGCGTATCTGTTTTACCTGATGGAATTGATGGCTGTGACCACCTTAACAGTCATAGTGTTTAGCTGATTAGAGCTGCAATTATGTGGGTTTAAAAAACCTCTGCTATCCGTAATATGAACTGATTCTATTGACATCCTTGGTTGATGTTTAAGTTTCTTACACCTTTAAACCGTTCGGCGTTAGTCGAACTCACCTCTCACTGTTCCGCGGTTGTTTAAGGAGTCCATAAATAACATGTGAAGAATGGTGAAAACTAAAACAGGCTCGTTCTTCATTTTCAACCTGTTTTTGCTTTCTAGTCTCGATTAGGTCTGCTATCGTATGCGAACAAGAAATAGTAACAACGCTCTCGCTCTTACTAAACCTAAACCTCCACGGGGTAAATTTAAAGAGCTCGGCATTCATGGATATGTTCACAATTATCATTAGAGAACAAAACAAAGGAGTTTTGTTAAATAATTGATTGATACAGGAAAGCGATGGCCATTCAATGAGCGAAAAGATTGTCACTTGTTATGGAGCGGCTCAATATAAGCAAATATTAATTTTTTTCTTCTTCGGCTCTTCAGGCATTAAACAATTATTTCATGTATTTTTAACCTACTGTTTGCTGGATCTATGCAATTGCAATATTCATTTGTTGCATGATGGTATCGTGCAAACAATAATCCGAACTTCTTGGATTATCAAAAAACCAATTAATATAAAGGAATCTTTCTAGATCATGCAGGTTTCCGCCAATTAAAGAAGGCAAGTAATAAACATCACGAAACCCTTCTCATCTTAAATTTCACAAAATCTTGAGGAAATCGTTGTCATAGTAGACATGGTAAAGAGAAAAAAAGGAAAGTGAAAATATTAAATGAGAAGACTTTTACATCAGGGGGCATATTTGCTTTTCGAAAAACTCACCTAAAGAAAGCAATCTGGAGAGGTATTTGATGCAATCAAAAATGACAATAGTTTTACATCCCCTGCTACGGCCGCTAAAAAAAGGCGTTTTAAAACAAACTTTGCCCGTAACACGTAGGTAATAGTACCCAGTTTAAACGAAAAAAGCACTGAAGAGTCAACCTCGGACGAGGACTCTGCTGATAAATCGGACGAGGAGGCTTTCCAAGAGTTAGCAGAGGAGGAGAGGCGATAAAGGAAGGCGTCCAAGAGGCTGCCAATTAAAGATGCGTTGGGGGACGAAGCAGTCCCGCTAAAATAAACACATGTTGGTATATGTATATATTTCTTACTTCTGATGTTGTTTTCTGTAATGACGGCGTACCGCTGCGTTAATCGAATTTTCTCATTGCGGGGACGCCTCTCGGGACTGACTCTAGGCAATTTGAAAAAAGGAACTTTGTATACATTTAAATTACAGAACTTAAACTTTAGCTTTTTCAAGTATCACGTTTAATAAACAAGCACAACCATTGATTATTTATTTATATAACATTGTGTCTGAACAAGAAACTCAGCTAAAGGATAAAAGATCATTGAAAAAGTAATAAACTTCTCCCTTTTTCATGGTCCCCCCCTTGGTTCCTGTCAATAAGGGCTGACCCCTTCTCTGTTTTCTTGAAAACCATCTGATGCTCCCCCCAAATTCCCCTCCACCCTCAGGCGACAAATTATGACCTGCGCGAGGTGATTATAGGCTCTTAAGTACAAAATGGCTGCTTCGCGTCATAATAATATTACAGAGGAAGAGATGAACGAAGACAATTTAAATCGAAGAACCCTAAATTTTCGAAGTAAGTTGGCGTTACACATCTCAGAAGTAAGATATATGCTGCTCTTTGCGGTATGTGAGACGCTTGTTACATATAAACTGAATGGACGCCTGGCTCAGCCTTTGTGGCTCAATGGTGGAGCGTTGGAGCGCGGAATTTGAAGGCTTCAGGCTCGATCTCACTAGAGCTTGTATCAGAGTGGCAAGGTTTTGTTTCTTAGGTGGTTCAGTTCGCACTCTGTTATTGAATGCAGACTGTATATTAATTCTCCCATTCATCGAGATTTTAAACAGCCTCTCTTTCTCAAGTTAGCTCAAGGGGCAGCGAGAGAATTATTCGGCGCCGCGCGAACAATGCGTGCTCCACATGTTATCTATAGGAGAATTTTAAGACGTATAGTTTCCGAAAAAAAAGGCTTTCTCCGTGGATCTGAGGACGGATTTTCTGTAGGAAATGTGCCTATCTAATTCAAAGATTTTGGAGATAAATGTTCCGGCCATTGTGCATTTTTCATTTTTTTTCATCAGTGAGGTCTCTATCAAAACTGAAAATTTACTTGAATTGGTCCCAAGCCTCCTATTACTCACCTGATATGCGCAGTGCAATTAAATATGCAAAGAGCGCCAATGTTAAAAATGGCAGTCAATAGGCTGATTTAGCAACAGAACGGGAACGTCAGTCGACGACGGCGCGCGCAAATCAAACAACTGGCTTGACCAATGGCAGAGCGGCAAATTTAGCACCGGAAGTCGTGTTTAGTCCTTTCCGCGCGCTTTCCCGTCGTCAACTGACGTTCCCGTCCTGTTGCTAAATCAGCCTAATAGAGCGAAGCAGGAGCGTAAGATTCCGAGTTTTATTGACGAATGCGTAGAAGCTAAGACCAAGCAATACAAGAAAATAAAAACTACGGATAAGGATATTTATCCTGTAGAGATAACACAGGTCGAAAAAGCGAGGAACATGCTTAAAATTCATTTCAAAGGGTACAGTGAGATATTTGACGAGTGGAGGCCATGCAATGAAAATAATTTTCCCGTAATGCGATTGGAACCGGTGTCACAACGGGCATCAAGTCGTTTTTACATTTGTCCGTGGAGATGGCAACAGATGTGGATTAAAAAATATGGTCCATCATTAATATATTTGATTTAGCACATGTTCATTACTTTTTCTGTATCTATGAATAGTTGATGCCAAAGAATTATTTTACTTGCATGTGAACTGTTTACATAAAATGTAAACATGTGCTTATAAATGATCCATATATTTCGGTCTGATTCTGTTGTAAGCAATGCAATAATATTTTTTTGAAAAAGACCACTTGAAGACTGTATACAAGAAACATATTTCACAGGCAGAGCAAAATTATTCTACACAACTTCTACTAACAGTTATTGGGTAATACACTCCTTTAATACATTGATATATTATATGATTACTGATTGATAAAAATCACAGCTTGGCTTCCATTTACTATCTATTTCAACAAGATGGGCACAGAAAGTAGGAGTATCACATTTGCTGCATTTTGCAGTACATGTTTTGATGGTATGGTCAGAAGTTGAAGTGTCCACAGTTGTAGCTTTCCTTCACCCTTTCCAAACCAGTAGCTTCCAAAAGCTGTATTCTGTGTTTTTTCAAGAAAAGTTGCTTTAGCGCAGAAACCTCTCTATGATTAGATGATCTAAAGAACTCCTTTCAGTGTTGTTGTACTTCTCCATACCTTGCTGAGTGTAATATGCTAAATTTTGGTATAGCTTTAAAAATTCAGGCACATGAGCATACAAAGAATGCATATACATTGTTACATCTTTTGCTTGGTGAAGGTCTAGGAATTTTTGAAACCATATTTTCATCTTGTCTTCAAGGCTAGAGATAGCACTATCTGTAGGACCTGTGGTGTAATTTAGTTTAAGATCACCTATAATATCTCTGAAATTACTCCAAAGGGCTTGCAGCTTATCTGCATCATGAAACTCTGATAATAGGAAGTGGAAATTTATGTGTTTTAAAACCAAGAGTTTTTCAGGTCCAGTAAGATCTCTGTACTCCGACTTCTTGGTGTCCTTATTGATTTCCCATTCAAAATTAATTCCAAGTTCTTTAGCAAATTTCTCATACCCAGCCATGAGTTTATACCTATTTTGACAAACCCATTTGAAAAAGTAGATACCTTATCAATGGCATCTTTTCTGTAAAGTCCCCGATCAGAAGTTCAATTAAATTATCAGATATTCTCAAAAACATATGTAGTGTATCAATTATAACATGGTCAATAGGAATAAAGTCAAACAAGAGATTGGTTTTACAATTATGTTGCTTAGATTCTGCATGCTTACCTATTTTGTGTGAGTCTCTTGCCCTGAGAGATTTGTCAGTTAAAGACCACTTTTTGTTGATGTCAAACCTTTCATGTTTTGGGCACTTACACCAAATACAAGCAAAATTTTGATTTGTAGCTGCTGGATCACAAATGTGGGCCAGAAACTTCCAGTCTCCTTCTAAAGAATACACAGTGCTATACTTATGATTATTTACAGTTATTTATTTTAAATTTGACATTTTGTTATTTAGATCAGCGAGGCTTTCTTTAAGATTGTCATAGTTCTCTGTTGTCTTAATCATTGCTAGAAAACACTTCCCTTTTTCATTCATTGCTACATCCTTTTCAGTCAAAATTGTGTATGTGACATTTTCAAGTTGAAGTCTTTTCCCAATGTTGGTACCATCACCACTGATCTTTACTTTACCAGTAGTAACCTTGTGCAATACTCCATTTTTCTGCAGCCTTCTTATCTGTTCCTCAATACTTTCCCTGAAAGAAATCTGTATTCCTTCTGCCTCTCCTGGTGTACTTTTCAGATTCCAATTGGCATTTAGCTTATCTAGGTGTTTGCATATTTTATATTTTGTGGGCATGTCTTTACACTTTATGGCCAACTCATGCCTAGCTTCTTTGGTTACCGGTATATTAAATTTGTCCTTTAAGTAAACTCGCATATTGATTTGATCAATATCATTGTCAGTCAGTTCTTTTGGTTCTGTTTACAGTATTTGTAATTCTCCTTCTTCTACCCATGAAATAGTTTCATACTGCTGAGTGTCATTATTAAATACCTCAACCTTGGTGGCAATAAAATTGTACAGGCCTAAAAATGACAGTGGCAGTCTTCTTTAAATCCTCGCCCTATCCTTGCCTGGTGCTGTTTGGTGTAATCAGTGAAACGTTTCTTTTTGTTTGGACCTCTTTTGTCCCTGCTTTTTTTCGCTAATCTTTTGAATTTTTCCTTGTACTGTTCTTTTCTGTTTTCCGAATCCCTAACAACAACTTTAAGCTTCTGCTCAATTTTTAATCTCTTTGCCTGCTCTGCGGCTAAATCCCATTCAGCTTTCCTTTCCTGCCCACGAAGCTGTTGGTTTTCCTAAATCAATAAGTTGTTTTCAAGCTCATGATAAAAATTTTCAAGGAGTAGTTTTTTGCCTTTCACGAATCAATAAGCTTCTTTATACTCTTCCCCCACTTTTTGACGTTTTCTTAAACGCTGAATGGAGAGAAATCTTTTTCCTGAAGACATTGAGAATTCTGGAATTTATGACAACTCCGCGAATGACCTCTTGTTGCAGCGTTTAGATCACCCCTGATGAAGGCACTAGACAGGAGTGTCGAAACGTTGGGTCTATGAATTGTAACTTCTTCGGTTGCATTCATTAAATCTGTAAACCAGAGTAGCATCAAACCATGTCTAACTCCGCGAATCTCAAATTCCCACAAGATTTTTTCCACGTTTCCTGCAATCACAGAATCAGCACTTTCGACGTTCGGCTCTTGACCAGGCTTCTTCGACAAGGAGTATATGAGCTGGCTGATTAAAAAATATTCAGTTCGATGAAAAAAACAATTTTAAAAAATTAAAAAGAAAAATGAAACAGGTTGGAATACACTTCGATTAACGCAATTTTTACTTACTTGTTTATTTCGTAAGTAAACCAAGTCAATTTTTCCCCTTTTGAACCATTTGTTTCTTCGCCGAAATCGTTTTGTGCATCTACCGCCACTGTGAGAAGAGTCAGCGAAGACAAATCACCAACGCGTAAACTTCGAGTCCCATTTCCCGAACCCAAACAATATCCAAAACTCATGTATTATACATCAAATTGCGCCAAATTTATTCCTCGTTTTGTATTTCGTGGGAATGACCAGTTTTGTGCATGCGCTTTAGAGTTATAGCCCCAGACTCTATGGCCAGTGCTTGCATGTGGCGTGAACCCTTCTTCGACATGTCTTTATCTCTAACAAAAGTCTCAAAAACCCGAACGAAATATTTTAATGATTGCCTTCAAATGCAGTGGTATAGAAAGCTTATATACGTTATTTTTATAAACTGAAGGTAAGAAAGATAGCAATTCAAATAAAATACACGAAAAAGAGGAAAATGTCCGAAAATTAGCGTGTTTTTGACTGACCCCAGACTGCGTGACATGTCACGAAAATCTATAGAGACAAATAAGTTTGATATAGGGAAGATTTAGAGTCAAATGCTTTATTTTTCACGAATATCAATCTGGGTTCACTTCACTAATGCCTCAGTTATGTTTGAGTCCTTCGTCTGACATAAATTTTTGAGAAGTTTCATTTTCAAAATATATCAAAAGAGGGTACTTCCAATACATCGTCTTCCAAGAGAAAAGGGGGGAAAATTGATGAGGGGTTAAGTATTCAAAATATCCATAGTTCTTAAGTTATCAGATACAATCAGCATAGTGTTTCGTGGAGATTGGGAAATAACTTAATCGTCTTGAATTAACAAAGCGAGCAAAACATACCAGTAATACAAGCAATAGATTAATTTTAAAATGGCAAGCTGAGAGTTTCCTTTGTTGTTGTTGCAGTTGTCGATGTTGTCGTTGCAAAGCAAGTAGCAGGATTAGGAGTGAAACAGAAAGATGAACAAAAAGACTTAAAATTATAAGAAATATTAAAGGGAGTAAATATACACATGCAATTCAACAAGGAAGGAACTTGAAATTGATTTTATTCTTTCTGAAAGAGTTCAGATATGGCGCGCGAACATTGTATGTCCCAGACCTCTCGCAAACGACATAAACCCGCTTCCTCAATTGAAATAACCACAATCCCTTGCAATCCAAGATCGATTGGCATGTTGGGAATGCTGGGCGCCATTTTGATGTGTGGCTTCAGTAAGAAAGTGTGGGAATCAACGTTCTTCTGTTTTGTTTTCTTGTCTGTCAGATAAGACGAAGCCTTGCGTTAGAAGTGAACTAACGTAATCATCCGTTTCTTTGGTTAAGGAAATTCCTCTTGCCAAGCTGTTCGTCGCTATGAGTTGTAACGAGAAGAACAACAAACGGCGGAAGAAGCGGTCGAAGCAAAGTACAGAGCCGGACACACACGTTCCGAAATCCCTTGAAACTCGAGAGGTACGTATCGTACGAATCCGGAATAATACAAGATCTTTAGCAGAAATATTACTGTAGGGCTCATCAACTTTGGTATTCAGCTGTTTTTTATCTATTCTTAATGTTTTGATGGTGTTGTCTGATCTCCGTTCTCATTCTCCTTCGTACACTGGGCTTGTAGGATGGAATGTTTGTTTTTTACTCAGACATAGTCCTACATACTACATGACAGTAAGTCTTTTGCTTTCTAACTGTGTTAGCCCCAAACCTCCGGATTACACATTGCTCTCTAACTATTAATGTTCGAATTTTGAACGGAAAATCTTAATCGCAATAAGTTTAACTCAGGTATATCTTACCTAATTTTTCGGAGACATGTAATATATTATGGCATTCATCTTATTTGTCACTGATGATGGGAAATGCTAAAGTAAGTTATACTCCCCGAGTTCTCAAGCTTTATTGCGTTTTGTTTTTAAATTTGGGATTGAAGTAGGTCCACTTCCCCGAAACAACTGTGATTCAATTTTTCTGCCGAGTAAAGAAATATTTCAAGTTTAATGATCTACGTAATTAGAAATAACATTGGTGGAAAACACGATTTCCAGCGATCATGTAATGCTGGTATTTGGTGGATAGATAACACACAAGGCTTTGCAATAAATGGCTGGACAACTTTATTTTTTATCTATGTCCTCTGTGGTTTTGTTTCAGTCAAAGTGAATATTTACTAATTACTTCAGAAATAAAATTAACTTGTATTTTGAAATTACCATTGGTGTACATGTTCATGTTAAGTTTCAATGTTAATTTACTTTGAAATTCACCCTTATTGTTTGCATCTGTACATGTTGAAGGGCTTAATTATCATCAATAAAATTTTCTGGACTTTCACTTAATTTCCTAGCTATGCCATCCACAGCAGTTTTAGGTTAAATTTTTATATTATTTGATTTTCCCACTCTTCAGTCTTGTGGACTTAAATTTTTTGAATTGTACCTTCAAATCATGTGTCAGGCAAAAGTGTCAACATTGTTATATCAGGGAAAGCAAACAGCAATTAGTAGTCTTTAATCTGAAGTTCTTTTTTATAAAATCCAGTTTAAGACCAAGTTCTTCACATTACTGATAAACAAAATATGGTTTGATTTACATTGTGACCTTCAAATTCCTGTTGCGGAAATGATATTATGTAACATCTTTATCTTGTTAAGCAGTTATATTTTTAAGTGCTATAATAAAAGTCTGCTCCCTTTCCATTTATATCTTCATCTTCTTCATCTCATTAATTTTTTTTCTTGGGAATGTGGCAGTAACAAATTTGATACTGCACTTTGGAAACTCCACAGCATAATTTTAGGTCTCTGTATTACCTAGGAACAGAGGTACCTCATAGCAGATGATATTAGGCTCATGATTTGCCCTCATTCCAGACTAAGCCAAATAAAAATAGGTATACAATCTCTCATAGTTATAAATATTTACTGTATGAGGTTTTTTTTTTGGTCATTCTCTAACATGTACAGTATTCATGTCAAAACAGTACATGCAGAGGTTTTTTTTGTTTTTGTTTAAGAATTATAATGATATTGGAACTTCTTTCCAGCATTTTAGCACACACAATTTAGGGTACAACATTCCCTAGAGTTGTAAGAGAGAATTGTAACTAAATATTTATGAAACCACTGGAAACCATTCTTCCAAATACTGAGGAATTAATTTTTGAGTATGAACTTTGAGACTTGTAAATTTTCCACAGTATTTAAAGACAAGGTTTTTCTGCCATCCAAACTGCTATTTTCTGTGGAACTGAAATAAAACCTCTGTTTCAAGTGCAAGTAACATACAAATTTAAAAAACCTGGGAGAACTCAGTCTGATAAAGACTGAGGATGAAAACATGTGTATATGTATACATTTTTTTTTGCAATCAGATTAGGTGGTCAGGGTACAATGAGATCAGTCTTCTGCCCAAGAGAAGAGATTTCAGCTTAAGTTCAAGTGTGTGATTAATCAATTTTGAGTGTTAAAAAAATTGACTGTCAACCAAATGTGTTTAAGCACAGAAATCAGTCTTCTGTAAGGCAGGTTTCTGTTGGTATTGTAGAGATCCCAATAAAAAAAGAATTGAAACAAGAAATAATAATGACAAAAACTTTCAAGATTTTTACAAATAAATTTTTCTGTTTTGCATGATGTAAACAGCAATGTAATTTACTGTTCAGTGTTTACACTGTACAGAGGACTACTGATATGCAGCATCTTACAGGTCATATACTTTAAGAATTATTTTTGTTGGGTAGTTTTCTTAATGGTTAATGAAATTCATGTTTTGCTTAAACGATAACTTTTCACAAAACACATTTTTGTTTCATGTTACAGCTACAGAATAATTCATCTAGAGATGATGACTCACCAAAGGCTGGAACTCCCACAATAGATGGTGAACGCTGTCTTCTTTGTCACAAAGAACGTTATGAGAGAAACAAGAAAGGTTAGAAAACAGTATAATTTTATCTACAGTTGTATTAGTTCAGTTGTTAAAATCTTGACGAGAATATACAGTGGCAAGTCCAATGTGCCTTGTTACTATTTGCAGATCACTGAAATCCCTTTTGGTCATTCTGTTGTAGCATTTCACAGTCTGTTTGTAAATAATGTGAAATTTGTATGATGTGTGTCTGAACATATTCAGTATCAACTAAGCTGAGTCACTTAAAATGTTTTCAAAGTTGTTTTATTGGCAAAGCCATTCTTAGTTTGAATCAGGTAGGGGTTTAGTCATGCAATTTGAAATATTTTTAGATCTGACCTTTTGGCTTGAAGGACTATAAATAAATATAGGTGTTAAGATATATATATAAGTGGATACACGTCAGACCCAAAAAGGGAAATTATTAGGCAAAATTGGGAAGGATTAAAACAATTTTTTAGGCTAAGTTCAATTTTTGTGAAAGGACCCATATTGTCCTTATTCTGTGGCTATAATTCTGCAGATAAGAGGTTGTTACTGCATTAAGTTACATGTAATTTAGAGACAATAATTTGTTATGACCCTCACGTACATGTAGATACAGTGGACCTTTGCCAAAAAAATTTTTAACATGCTATTTGAAGCATAGCTCCCATAAACTTTATATCAATGGAAAGTTATGAAATGGGCTAGTTGGCAAAACATATTTCACTTCAGCTTGATGTAATTGCAAATTGACTGTGGCACGGCAATTCTAAGGGAACAATGTTTCTTTGAGTGGATTAATTGGATATTAAATTCTACCACACTAATAAAACTCCTGCACTATATCATAATCAATCACTAGGAGCACTTTGCATTTCTTTTTTAAAGTTTGTTCACCAACTGCCAATTGAAACAAAAAGGCAACCTGCAGAGTCCCATGAGACTTACAGCAGTGGGATAATTTGTGGGAAACTATCTAGCATTCACAGGTGACAAACCTTGGTTCAATTCTGTTTGCCAGCAATTTCAATTTCAAGTTTTTAGGAGCTTGAACTTGATGCAACAGAACTTGTTGATGGTTGGCTGTCAAGTGTGAGCCATAAAGATTTCTCATACTAAAAGCCTGGTTTTGGAAAATATCTGTCCATTCCTTGTAGAATTTCTTTTCATTCTTCACTCTAACAACCAGGATAAACATTGGGGCAGTCATTTATGTAAACTATTTGTAATTGGTTTTGGTGAGATATCTGTTCATTCCTTGTAGAATCTTTTTTATTCTTTACTCTTACAGTCAGGGTGAACATTGCAGGAGTCATTTATATAGACTATTTGTAATTGGTTTTGGTGTGATACCTGTCTGTTTCACATTGAATTTCTCTTTATTCCTTACTGTTACAGCCAGGATAAACATTCTGGGAATCATTTATGTAGGGTATTTGTAATTGGCATTTCACACTTTGACAGGCTTAAAAATTTAGGTAGTAAATATGTTTTTTAAAGAAGATGCAGGTGTTGCAATACTTAACAAATTTTTTTCTTTGTAACTGAATGGTAATGCATACTAAAAAATTGGTAAATGCTTGAAAAAGGTGTCCCCTCGAGGTCTACTGTATCCTTTTGTTGGCCATCAAAGAGTTGAAGAATGAATGGTGATAAGCTGCAATGAATAAGATTAATATTCCTATTCATCACACCTTTTATTGTAGGAGAACTTACTAAATCTTCAACTCAAACATCAAATCCTAATGGAACTTCAGTGTCACAGGTAGGGTATTTCTAGATCAGTGTAACAAGTGGATTTCATTAGTTCCTACTGATCTGTCTGAACAAGGATAGGCTTAACACAAAGAAAGATGTTCTTTTTCTTGTCCAAGTCATTAGACAAATATAATATCTGTGTCCTTCTCACTCCATGCTCCAGTGCTATGCCATTGAGCAACAGATCTTTGGCCCACTTACCAAATTTTTAAATTCCAGTTCTTTTAAAAGACAAAATTAAAGAGATACATGTAAATTTTAATTTTTTGTTCTTTTTTATGGTAGGTTCCACTGTGGGTATGTCCAGAATGTAGAAGAAGTATTGAGGAGGAAGAACGCAGGGCAGCAATGGAACCATCAATACCTGTAAGTTTGTGGAAATGTTAGATGCACATGTACATTAAGGTACTCTGTCAAGATCTTCAAGCTCGTGTCTCTGTCTAAAGAAAAGACCTCTTCACATTATTTTGGGTCACTGTAATAGTGTAGGTTTAAAAATCTTTTGCGTATTTTTTTTGTTTCTTTCTTTTACGTTGTTTTTATGTTATTTCTTATTTATTGACAGATACTGAAAATTAAATGATGTGCAGTTCTTTATCAAATTAGATGCAAAAGGATAGTAATTTTTGGAAGTTTGTGAAACTGGCTGAATAAAAGCATATTGTAGGTTGTTTAGACACTGTGTGTACATTACATGTAAATGTTTGAATTACCTAGATGCAGCTACAGGTATCTCCATTTTGTTGTAAAGTTCAGGATTAAATTTTTTCCTTTTTTTCATTGAGCCACCATATAAGTACAAAAACTGTATATACATGTGTATGCTGCATTTGAATGTTTTTTGGATTATTCTCTAATTGCAGCCTGTAGCACTGTGAATTTAACTTTTTAGTCTCATGTATGTTATAGAAACACTTTGGCACAATGTATAATGTTTATGCATGCATGAGAATTACCTTTCATTGTAGCTTTTTGTTTTGTCCCTAGTGTTGTTGGGGCGAGGTTAAAAACATTGTGAGGTGTATTTACAGAGAGGCTGGAACATCCTTAGCAGGTGAACAGGAGAATAACTATGCAATATGTAGTACTTGTCTACTAATGCGCTATACTTATTGTTATGTTGTGTATTGAAGATTTGTTAAGAGTGTGGGAGGGTTAGCAGAGTTGGTTTGTGACTTGTAGGACAACTGCGTTTATAAATATTTTTACAGATACAATATAGCATGTTTTGCCTGTCTGTAACGCTGTTTCAGTGAGAAACAGTTTACTTTGTGGATTTTGATAAATTTAATGTTTTTCATTTACACATCTAGCTTTGTACAATATTGCTAATAAAAGTTATATTTGCGGCATTATGTTCAGTTCAGTTGCTTCTTTTCACATTGTAAATAGAAGAACGTTTGAAGAACAGGGTACAGGATTCAAACTGTTTATAGGTTTAGCATTTTCACTGCTGTATCAGACTACATTTACATCATACTACTGTATGGATGTAGAAGTTCCCCCTTAAAAGAAAATAACTCTTGTGCAAAGGTTTGGTTATGTGGACACAAGGCTTAGGCACAAACTCATTTCTGTCAACCACACAGTTGCAGTCATCTTAACTGTTTGGCTTGTTGCTGCAAAATTTATCAAACTGTATTGTCTTTTCACTGCACCTATGCAGGTAATGTAGCTCATCTGTCATCATTCCTTGGTGTTGACACAAGTTGTTTGTCATTCCTCTACAAACAAAAGGAGGAATGTCACACAACTTATGTGAACACTCCATGGTTTGGTGAATTTCTTAATTGTGTTTGTTTGACCTGGTTTCCATTTAACCATCCCAGTTGTTGAAGCATTACTTGGGACAAAGTCAGGGTGATTATGTCTTTTTCATGCTCATTTGATTAATACTTATTTTGTTGCTAATGTTTTAGATGGGGAAGAAACTGTTAAAAATTCTTTAGATGAAAACAGACTCAGATTCAAAGTAGATAAGTGAGTACCCCCATCATAGATGTAGTATACAGGTACTGTGACAGAAGGGCCAGGGGCTTCTTTAAGGTGGAAATCAGCATTTGACTAAATTGTATTGGTATTTTAACACTCTCTGAGGCCTAAACCTCTATCCTTGTGTTTGTAGTGAGATAGCTCTGAAACTGTAGAGCTTCCTATTACTTTTAGTAAAAGAATGTAAAGTTTGAGAGGAGCCAGAAGAATCTGAGTTGCCTGGCCCTTTTATTTTAATTTGATTTGATATTTAGAAAATTATTCTATTTTATTTCATCATACTCGTCTTTGTATTTCAGACATTGCATAAAGTTTTGACATTGATATTTGTTTAATTTATTTTCCCTTTATGTATTAAAGCTTTAGATATAATACCTGCAAGCTGGTGAGCTATTGCAATTTTTGAGTCAGTCTGGTTTGCGATGGCTCCTTTAGTGAACAAAACATATTTTTACAGCATACTTTTATTGTTGTTGGTTTTTTTTTCTGTCACCAGTGACTGTACATTGTATACATGTAATTGTATGTAATTGGTTCATTCTTAACTCTTTTTAGATTACTAAAAAGTGATCCTGCTCAGTTGTTTGAAAAACTTGAAATTCAAGCCAGGTATGTAAACTGTACAAATACATGTACTGGGCCATTTTGTTTTGTGTTTGTTTAGAGGCAGTCAGAAATAAATTCTTTTGAGTAAATTGTCTCAATATTTAGGGGTGAGTAAAGAGGTTTGTGGGGTGTGAGGTTTGCTTGTGCTTTGTATGAAAATATGGTTGTGAAGAAAAAATTAATGTATATATACAAGGACATGTTGGAAATGGAATCAATACACGTCTAGTATGGAACCACTGTTGAACAATGAGACAATTTTTTGTTTTGAAATTTTTATCTAATGTTTGTGGTTCATACACTGGCTAAGGAAGACAGAAGGTGTAAAAAAAATGCATCCAAGAAGTGCCTGTTTTCTTTCACACAAACCCAAAGTGGTTCTTAATTATATTTTGTCTTTATCAAGTGGTATGCAGAGGTTTGTCTTGCTTAAGGTTAACTGGCATACTTTAAAGGAGTAGTCCTTTCCTAGTCTAGAGTTAATGTGATCTTTTTGTTATCCCTCTTTCCAGGGAATATGTCCGAGAAGTGAAAGTACGTCTTGTGAAATATTTGACATCATGTCCCTTGTCCCCGAACCATGCTAAAGAATTTTTTACTATGTTACTGGATGAATACCAAGCACTGTCAAAGGCTTTTGATATCCTCAGACCATTCTTCTCCAAGCTGGTGAGAAGTTCTAGTAATGATAATTGAAATTGTGCCATTCATCTGATATTTCTGTTTCAAAATTGCCATTGATTTTGTGCATGAAAGGGGAGCATCTAAGGCCATATCAGCCTTGCATTGTGTGCTATAATTTTTGTATTTACAATTCATTTGCCCCTTATCATAGACAGCCTTGAATTTATAGGTGTGTGTCAGGGAGTTGTTTTTTTTTTTGCGTTCAGTTAGTCTGAAAACACTGTCTATCTTTCAAACTACTCGGGTCAGGTGTAAATACAGTAGTTACAAAGTGACCTTGATACAAATGTTTGTTTTCTTTGCATATAATTCATATCAAGTAATTTTTGGCATTTTTTATTGTATATTAATTTGCTCTCTGTACATTCCATAGGATGTTGACCATTTGAAAGAGTTTGGTTTGAATTGGGATCTCTTACACAAACACCTTTTTTACACTGAAATCTATCGGGACCCTGCAGTTTATGGCAACCTTCCTGGGCTAATTACTCAGTTAAGGTAATAACATGTAATGAATAAGTATAAAAGAGATGAAATGTTTATTGAGTGGACCAGGACATTTGTATTGCAATTACATTTCAATCTGCATGTACATGTACACTTGAAATCTTGAGTAGATCAGGATGTTTGTATTGCATTCACCTTACAATCTGCATGTACATGTACGCTTGAAACCTTGAGTAGTTCAGGATGTTTGCATTGCATTTACCTTACAATCTGCATGTACATGTATGCTTGAAACCTTGAGTAGTTCAGGATGTTTGCATTGCATTCACCTTACAATCTGCATGTACATGTACATGTACACTTGAAACCTTGAGTAGATCAGGATGTTTGTATTGCACTTACATTACAATCTACATTTACATGAACGCTTGAAACCTTGAGTAGTTCAGGGTGTTTGTATTGCATTTACATTACAATCTGCATGTACATGTATGCTTGAAACCTTGAGTAGATCAGGATGTTTGTATTACATTTACCTACAATCTGCTTGTACATGTACGCTTGAAACCTTGGGTAGATCAGCAAGTTTGGTTTGCATTTACCTTACAATCTGCATGTACATGTACACTTGAAACCTTGAGTAGATCAGGAAGTTTGTATTGCATTCACCTTACAATCTGCATGTTCATGTACACTTGAAACCTTGAGTAGATCAGGAAGTTTGTTTTGCACTTACATTACAATCTGCATGTACATGTAGGCTTGAAACCTTGAGAAGTTCAGGATGTTTGTATTGCATTTACCTTACAATCTGCTTGTACATGCACATGTATGTATTAAACCTTTTTTTGTTGTTGTTTTCAGACTAGGTGCAGTTGCAAAAGAGAATTTTCATCAGGACACATTTCCAAACTTACTACACAGGTCAGTCCAAGTAATTTAGTTTGTGATAATCTTTGATTATAAACTACTGTCTCCCTACCTAAGGCACAAAGATATTGCTATTATGGTGATTAATGTTAAAAAAGACTTGGATTTGGCAGATGTGTTTGTAACCTTGGTGCTACCCATTTCAGATCATATGAGAATCATTCAAATGATTGTAATAGGCATGTTTTTACATGCTTGGAAGCGCTAGGCTGCTTGTGACAAATTGCCCAATTTTATCCTCTTAAAGGAATCATCACATTATCTGAACAGCTGCCAATAAAGATGAAGATGCATGAGCCAAATCAGTCTTTTCATCCTTTTGAACACATTGATCATAGTCAGTTGATTTGTTTACCAGCAGTTATGTCATATCTTTTAAAAAGTAGTGATACTACTTACACATCAACAGGCAGGTTAAAATTTGGAAGGAAAACTGGAAGAAGATACTCATTAAGATAAATTGTGTGTCCACTTGGGCAAGTGTCAAACAAGTTTTAGTTGTCAGAGCCAAAAACTACTAGTCTCAGATGTGCAGATGGGTTCAATTTTAAGTGTCCTAAAATTTTAGATTGAATAGGCTTTTTACTTCGTTCTCATTGTCACAGATAGTGCTATTTTTAAACTCATTTTTGTTTTGTACAAAGGTACCTTAATTTTACTGATGATCTCACTGAGATTGAGTTTTCATGGAAAGAGAGTGAGAGAGCGTTCAAATTCTATAAAGAAAAACAGGTAAACTAAGATCTTTCTTTTGTTCTTATAAGATTCTTTCCCATTTTCTTCACGTATAGAACTGTAGACTTTATCTAACTACCAAGTTATTTCAGAATTTTTTATGGTGTAAATTTTAACTCCTAGGCTGAACTTCGCGAAAAAACTGGCATACCAAAAGTGGAGTGGGAAGATGATTCTACAGGAGTAGAGTGGAAAAATAGGATAGTTCTGGTTGGTATATTATATGAAGTTGTATCCTAGAATCAGCAGTGATAAACATACATCTTTTGCTCCTCAAGAGTAAAAAGTATAATCAAACTGCATTTGTATTTGATACTAAAACTGGGTTTTAGTACCAAAGGAATAAAATGGCGAAAGCAATGAAATGACGGCCAAGTAGACATGTAGAACAATTTCTTAAGAGAACGAGAACAACGTTTCTGTGGATTTTGTGAGAACGCATCGTGGCAAACAAGATGAATGTATTTCTGAATGGTCAACAAGTTGTGAGTGGCTGCCAAGCAAATATACTCTTTCTTTTTATTTTTCCCAAACAGGGTTCCAAGAAGCTTACTCAACAAAAGTAAGTTTTGAATTGGTCTTACGTTGTAATTTCAATAGTAATATTGTCTGAAGTTGTGTGTGATGTTTAAAATTTCAGTGAATGTCTGAAACTCAAGTGAAACAGTACCTTCCTTTGCTGATACATAATTGATATCGTTTACAACATGTTCATTAATAAATTGTAGATGTCCAGGGATGTAGCTAAAGTTTTTAACAGGCGGGAATCTTGCAATGATAGGCGGGTATTTGGGTCGAAGGCCCACTCTAGCATGCCTTTGGCACGCTATACCTAGAATTGAAGGTGTAAACAAATAAAATAAATCAATAACAATCTTCTGACAACATTTAAAAACATTTTGGAGAAAGAAGTAGTGCTTCACAGCCGGAAAAATTGAGTTCACAGCCGGGTAATTTTTCCGGCTTCCGGCTATTATCTACATTCCTGGATGTCTGTGTGAGAATAGCTTTAGTATTTTATTCTTTCCAATGCTCATATTCTTTATTTCTTACCGACCTTTTCACTTGGTTCCTTTTAGTTAAAATCAAAAGCCCGGAAACTTGGTTAACAAATCAGTGTCTCTCGTCAATTCAAATCAAAATTTGATATGCATTGTAATAATATGCGGGAAAAAAATTACGGGCTGGGATTGGCTTAAACAAGTGCATTTTTCAAGTAACACGAGTGTCAATTTGTAACACGGGTGCAAATTGCAAATAGCGCGCACGCTGTCAAAATTTCGTTTCTCGACTTTCTGAGATGCTTTTTTTTCATGTAAACTATTAATAAGTAATAGCTTGATTTCAAATGCAATTTGGTGTAAATAAGCTTTTTATTTTTTTTTTCAAGGACTTCAAATCGCGCTCACCTGATGGGCTTCATTAATTTTTTTGTCTTTGAAAAATCTACTCGTGCTTGTTAACACCAAATTGCAATCAAAATCATGTTGTCACGTATACTAATTTTATGTGGTACATAAATGTAATTGTGAATTGTATAACGAGAGCCAATCCTTTGGCACAACTTCGAATATTTCAAGGTCTTGGTTCTACCGAGTACTTTTAAGGTTCAGAAATGTACATTTACATGTGACATTGCGTAGAAAGTCATGACAAAACTTGGTTTAATGTGTGTTGCACGAAGTGGGATATTACCATCTAATTTAGTTGTGACCACTATAAATGGATGGATAGTCCTCTGTGTTACGTTTATTAAATGTGTTAATTTCTACTACTTAGGTGTCATTGTGGTCACTGCAGTGTTCCTTCATTGCCCCTCAATTCACCAGTACCATCAATACCACCTTTTAAAACAGCAAGTTCACACACAAAACCCTGCGGCAATCACATCTCAGCTTCAGTATCCACTCATAACACAGCTGGTAGCAGGATGCAGTGGCCAAACCCAGTGTCGGTGCCAAACTTCAGTCCTCACCTTTTGGTGGCTAATGACCTCCATAGTATCCCACCCTCCCAACTTCTGCCGCCGCCACCTCTCATGATGAATGGTGGAGCAAATCTTTGTCAATGCTCAGCATGTAGTGGTACAACTGGGTATAGGGAAGGAGTTAAAAATACAGAACAGGTGCGATACCTTGGCTATATCACGTTTACGTAATTAAAGGCAAGGAAAACTTGAAAGGGAAAGATGAGTGGTTTCCTGTGTGAAGTTTTTTCGTTTAATTTTGGGTTGTGTGGTGTCCTTGTTGAAAAGAGGCATGTAAATGTTCATTACAATGACAGTGCATTAAAGTACAGTGTAGAACAGAATGGAACAGCACAGAACGTTACATTATGTTCAGTGTTCGTAGCTAGGCGATACGTGAAACAACTTGCTTTAGACTCTGGGAATGAGGTGCAATAAAGTAAAATGCGATCTAGATCCTCGAAAAGTTTTTCGAACGTCTTGATCCTTGATGGTCAACCGTTGATTCTCGATAGCTTCGAGGATCGAGTTTCGAGTCGAGACTGTCAACTTACTCTTGAGCGGTACTGTATGTGTAACCACCTTTAGTTGAGACTTTTCCTTGTTTGCCTTTAAGCATACGAGTGGTAGCAAGATGGGCGAATGTCAGTGTAGTAAGTGCCCCTATCATGGTGTAAAGGATCAGGAAACAAGACTTAAGGCCGAGAACAAGAACTTTACCACCCATCCCTTTCCTGCAGTCCACGCTTCATCCCCAAACAACAATCCAATTCACAGCAATTACTTTCATCCACATCACGGCAAGCCCCTCCCTGCCACCTCCCTTCACCTCTCAGAGATCCATCGTCAGGATCTTCACAGCTTTCTTCCGGACAGCCTCAGGCACGTCAATTATAATGGTTACCATGACAGCCCGGATGGATGCACTGAACTGGATGACGGAAATAACAGTTCTAGTGACATCAATAGTGATTATGATGATGACGATGATGATGTAGACGATGACGATGATGACGTGAGCAGTTGTTCACCGAGGAGAACAAGCCAGTCCTCAGGTAGAACATTTTACATGCAAAGAAGAATGTGTCTCCTTTGTTCCTTGGTATACTTAGAGAAAAATTTCCACAGATTTCAATATTTTAAATGTTTTCCTTGTTTTTCCTTTAAACGGCCTCTGCGACTCTCTAGAGATTAATCCTCCACACCCTAGCATCAGTAAGCATATTCTCCGTACTGTTCTCCATACATTACCTAGGGTGCTAACAAGGAGAGGTTTTTCAACAATCAGGAGCTTCTTTAGTTTGTGACTATTTCCTTTGTTCTCGTGATCCTAATAGTTGATGTAGGAGTAATCTAGTAAGGAGAAATTACATGCTAGTCACTCCTGGCCTGATTCGTCAATGGATTAAGAACTTCTTTACTGCTCTCAATATTTGCCGACCTCGAAGATTTTTTGTCGCATGTTCCCCAAAGCCAAAAGACTGGTTTTGTTGAACACAAATAAAATGTGACCTTGTTTTGTGTCAGCGTTTTATGTTCCTCTTTTTTTTTTAATTTGGATGTGATCTTTTTTTGTTGCAGACATTGACGGCCTGGGCCTTGATGTCCCCCCTGGTTCCCCATCAAGTGTACGGAGCAGTGGAGATGGTAGCTCATGCGACACTCCACCTGTCAATCAGTGTACGTCATCAACGGATGATGGCCGGACGGATCGTGGGAAATACTGCGATTGTTGTTATTGTGAATTCTTCGGCCATGCTGCAGTAAGTAGACTGTTTACTTCTAACCAAGTAACCTTGTTTGATTTTTACGTACACGTTTTGAAACAGAGAGATGGATTAAGAACTGGCCAAAATATTTTTGTGTTGGTTTGAAATGAGTGAATAGGGAAAGTGGATCAGATCGTTCCACAAACGTACTTTTAAGAGCTCTACATACATGTCATCCTCTATTGACAGGTGTAGTGCTGATTTCAGGTTAAAAAGATGCTGACTGTGCATCATAAGTTTCTCTGATCTGTGGCAATTTATATTTTTAGCCTCCTGTGGCACCAACCAGTCGCAATTACACTGAGATACGGGACAAGTTAAGAAGACGATACAACAAACGGCAGGTAAAGTGAGCTTTTAGTGTTCAGGTGTTATTACTATTTGTCTCCTGAGTAGTCTAAAATTTTACCTGTGCATACATTTATGGCAGATGAATCATCGTTTAACTCTTTATAGGGCTGTTGGAATATCGAAGTTTATATGTTTGCTATGACGCTTTGGATTTGATAGATGCAAATTGGCGCTATAGTTGGTGGAAAATTTCTCGAACTTTAAAAGTAACCGATTTTATTCTCTCGAAGCCAAACCAGCCGGTACAGCAGAACAAGAACAAGAACATGAACAACAAGAAGACGGCGAATGCGACAGTCGTTGATCACCGGTCGGTGGACGATCTCTTGACGTTTATCAATGGGCAGAAAATGGAAGAAGAAAGACTGGGGGCAAAATCGAAAGCGCAAAAAAGAGCGCGGCAAAAACAAAAGAAGGTGAGTGGGACTCAAAGTAAATAAATGATACTGCAATGTTTTTTTTTACTGTTTATCGCCATCATCATCATCTTCGCTATCATGACATTGATGTTAAAAACTGACAACAATATCGGTAATAATTAAAAGTGAACCAGTGGTGATGTTGCAAGCCAAGCAACCTACCTAATCCAAAGTTTTTTGGCACACCCAACAATGTGAGTTCTAATCCCCACTACCTGTCTGTACTACCCTCCCCTCCCCTTTACTCTCTCTTCCCACTCCATGTTCTTCGATTATTGATTAATTACGTGAATACTTGAATGTTTAATATTTAAGTAGACGAATGAAATATTGAAAAAAAAAAAAATCTTACTTGGAACAATTTTTTCTCCTAGGCGGCTGAGAAGGCTAAGCAGAATGAGAACACAAATGATCAAATAGACGACAAAGCTCCTCCATCTTCCCCCTCCAACCGAGGAAACGTGAATGGGATTCATCACAACGGCACGAGTGATGCATTGAGGAACAAACGGGAGTCTGACGCGACCACAAACTACCGAACACCCGCTCTTAACGGAAAAGAACTACAAAACGGCAAACCAGTACACAGGGGGAAAGAACAGGAACAGAAGCAACTACAAACACCAGACAATGGTGGCAAGGCGCGAAAGAAGAGAAATCACTCAAATCAAGATGTCACGATGTCACGCCAAGTAGAGAGTCACGAAAACGAGTGCAACTTCGGTGCGCGGACAAAGACGGAAGAGAAGGCGGAGAAAATACGACAGGTATCGGGATCACCTGATCGTGGCCCTGTTAGCAATAACAAACACCAAGGGCAAGAGAAAACAGCCGGTCCACCACCACAGAAAAAGCAAGGAAAAAAGAAGAAAAAGGCGTCAGTAGGTAAGAAACACGAATCCTTTGGTTATGGCCAAAAAATTAGTTAAGTGACAGTTTCATCCCCTCTTGTACATTAGTCATGCTACAATAACAGTCAGATAACGTTGTATTGATTTAATGTTCGTTCACCTGTGGGTTACTTTTAGACTAATTGTCAATGTCTTATTTGTGTTATCGTATTTGTTCATAAAATATTTGTATTTTTTACTTAGATGATGATGATGTTTTCATGCCGCGGGAAGATATCGAGGTAGGTTTAAGCTATCACTAAGCCAAATCCAAAGGAGGTCTATAAAATCATGCATCTGTATGTTTTTTTAAGGAGGTTTCAGCGGCGTTAACTTGACATTGCTAATATTCGAACATTTCTCATTGACAACCTGGTTTATCGTCACAGACCGATTGTATGTTTTGGTAAAAGATTATGTATCGTGAAGCACTGAAGGGCAGACGCTCAGTAAGATACTACATAAAACGAGTCCAAAAGGAAATTCAGTCGTCGATTTCTTAAAAATTCGGATCGCTGAGTTATGAGGAGATAATTTCCACTATGATACTGCATAAAACGAGTCCAAAAGGAAATTCAGTCGTCGATTTCCTAAAAATTCGGATCGCTGAATTATGAGGAGAGAATTTCCAGTCAGTTGGGAAACTAACATTGTTTACCAGTAATTTTTTTTGGCAAGTCTGCTATCTGCAATTTGATTGGCTACTCCTCTCGCTATCTATTCCGCGATCGATACATGTACATGTAATAAGTAGAGCGAGTACCCAAATAGTGTTTAATTGAATAGAAACATGAGCCCGTCTTGTTGTTAAGGTTAAAAGTTATAGAAGATTTGGAACAGATTTCCGTATAACCTAATACTAGTTTAAAACGAAGCCGCACACCTAAGGGCAATCTATTGTTTTCGCCATATTTCTCTTTATCCAAAAACTGTATGCGTATTGAGTATAGGGTTTTGCGGAAATCTTGCCCAGATTTTAACCAAAAGAATTAAAGTTTTGCTTAAGATTTCTTTGCGTGATAGAAATCTCAAGTTCTTTATGTCATCGTTGAATATTGTTGCAAATTTTTGTTTCTTGTAGAAACTTACCCAAATGGATGAAGCAGAGCGTGAACTGGAAGAGTTTAAAAGGTAATATAACGGTTTCCTTGATATATCATGTTAACTCTAGAAGAACTGTTTCGAAGGGAAAATTCGTGAGATATTTTCCCTTTGCCCTGCTTTTTCAGCCTATCATTTATGGCAGTCGGTACTTCTTTCATGTGTTTATTAGTTGAGCTAAAACTTTGGTTGTTGGATGACAATGCAGTTGTTCTTATTCCTTCCAAAACACACACAATTTAAGCTGTTTGTAAATGTAGGCGAGAACAGTTTTTGGGTTTCTAATGGGACCTGAAGGCAACGATGTAAATGTCGTCGAATCCAAGACAAAACGCTTCTCTGTGTGTTTCGAATGTTATTCTGTTGCATGATGATGTGGATAGAAAACCATGAAAGATAAGACTGAACTATAAGTTGTGAAACACTTATGACAGCGTAGACAATATGGGTCGTTATCGCTTAGTACAATTAATACTAATTTTGGAGATGGCCTTTTCATTCCAGATTTTGTATGAATCTAACACCCTTGGAGAGAAGAGAGCGTATTCCTGTAAACGTCAACCTCAAAGGGCTTCTAAATGGCAAGAAAAACGGATCTTCCTAGGCTATGCCTTGAGTTTCCTAGATGAGCTTACTCGGCCTTCTTGAGTCGAGGAGGCCTGTAAACTGGTCGCGCCAGTTTTTCCGGAGTTGTGAATTTAAGGAAGCACTTCCTCGATCAGTTCCGTTTTCTTTTCAATGTAATCTAATGCACAGAGAATTATATTGCCAAATAAAATATCTATTTAGTTTCGTGAAGAAGTCTTGTGGCGTGATGCGAATTGTACGTAAACAAGTTAAGGACATGTTGGTATTGTTTGTTTTGTCCCCTTGTTATTACTTTGAATACACACGTTGCCACCTGTCGTGTCACCAACAAGCTGATTTGAATTTGCATGATCGTTGATGTTGAAAGAGATCAAGTTGTACTGATCGATGGTGCTTTCGAAAGGTGCACTAACCTTCCTTCAGAAATACGGCTCAAAGAAAGATGGTAAGGTGAAAAGGTATTTTGGATAAACTACACCTGTATTTTTTAAAATGTGTAATCGAATGATGCAGGACAATTATAATCATGGCGCTGTAATATTTGGAGAAACACAACGCGGAATGCCACGTATAAATTCTAGAGTTTAGTTGAGGGTGAAATATTTGTAAATGTGTGCTGAATGTGTGACAATGTCTAGCTCTAGAGGGAATTTTTACGCCATTCAAAACTGGCTCAAGTTTGTGGCGGCTGTTAATTGACTTCTCTACAAATTGCGGTCTTCCATCTGTAAAGGTATCATTCAGACTGGCAGTTCTATTGCGAAAGAGTACCTACTAGTCTTTGCTGTGGTGGAATATTGCAGAATGAGCTGTATTTCAAGAAACTTTCACCAGAGCGAGTATCGAACTCTTGTGAATTTTGCTTTGCAGTGGAAAATTTAACATGTTATAATTATGCAAATGTTTTTTCGTTGTCAAGTACGTTCGCAGTGATGTGAATGTTGCGTTTTTGTCGAGATAGCTGCTTTTTTTTCGACGGCGAGCGAGAAACTCGAAATGAAAGCTGCGACGTTGGATTTTAAAAATCTGGTCAATTGAACTTTTTATTTTTTTTTTCTCTCCATTGAATATGAAAGGATACCGGTTATATTGTGTAGTAAACAATTATCACAATACATCCCATGGAGGTTTTCTTTTCAATTTATCGGTAAATTGAGAAATTTGTTTCGGTTTAGTTTGGCTCAATTAGTTTAAGAAAGCAAGTGTACGTCTGGAAGAATCTTGTGTTTGGAGAATTTGGCAGTAGATTTATGTTTCATGATGTCTCGAATCCTCTTGAGCAAATGGAGAACACTTTGCCGCATGTAAATATTTCACCACGATTCTATTTGCCAAATTTTTGTCACGTATTCACCGTTCCTCGGCAACCGCTGGAATGTTTACAGAGAGTGCCCTCTTTCCCTAGACTACTTAGTCATGAGATCGGTGTCCATCAATTTTTATTTTTATTTATTTATTTTTCAGTTTTCTCGCGTGACGGGTAGAAATCACACTTTGGTTGCATTAGTATCGGTAAGAATTCCTCGGCCGTGACGACAAATCCATCTCCAAAACATGACTTTTCAGCCTCGGTAAACTTGTTGAGGACGAAATTTGAGGTTGCAAACTAATAGATAATTCATTTGAGACGGTAGGTGTAACTTTAGCAAGCTTCAGTCGATATCCACGAAGTTTAAACTAGAACCACATCTTAAAAAGTCAGAACATTACAATAGAGGATATTCTTGTGTTTCACTAGCCTCGTCTTAACAGGAAGGTAAAGAGGATAATTCGAGTCAGTTATTCTAATACTTTCGAATCAGGTCACCCTCGGTGCGATCCGTCGGCTAAGCGGTGCGTGGTTGACCTTGGAAATCACAGGGCTTTTGTGACGGTCAAGGACGTTTAAAAGTATCGTGCTGGGTTTTTAATCAATCCAGATATAAGCACGATGGTGTTAATTAGCTGCTTCCGAAGCAAATGTTTTGTCTTCACTCAATCTACACCGAAGTCTGGAATACTTTGAGGAGCAGTTTTAAGACGCTGTATCGTTATACCCGGCAGCCGAGCACAGTATCAAATAGACTAAACGCTCGGTAGTCAGTAATTTTCACAGAGGTTCCATTAATGGTTCTCAAACTTCTTGAGAATATCAGATGTTTGTTTAGAAATGTCAATCGATTCCAAAAATTATTTTTTTGTCTTAGTGGAAAAATTCTCCGAGCTTATGCATCATATAATATCGGTCGGTAGTCGCCACTCAGAAGTGCTTGGCTTGTTGTCAGACTGCTGGGCACGGTTTCAAATGGGCTAAACTGCCGGCAGATCTAAATTACGGTTACCTCGCACCTTCAGGGGCCAAAAAAATCGATTTTTGTTTTATTTGACTGGGCTGGATTGAAACATTCAACCTAACATTTCCGTAAAAAAAATTTTAAAATCTTTAAAAGCAACCGAGTTAGTTAGAAAAAAGTATTTTCAAATAAAAGATAATTAATCTGGAAGGTGTCAGAATCTCGGATCTGAGCGAGCCCCTGGGAAAATTTCCCGGCAACCGCTCATGTTGGGGCTCGATTTTCGTGTTATTTCCATATTTTGTCTACGTAGCGCACTTAACAAAATTCACACATGGAAGCTCTTTGCTTACAGAAAAATCTTTGTTCATAGAAATTAAAAGCTGAAGAAAGTATTAATTAGAAAAAAAAAATCAAACAAACAAAAAAAAGAAGGCTCTAAGAAGAAAGAAAGAGTACCATTCTGTCAAGAATATAAAAAACTTCCTTGGTGAAAGCGACTGATACTTGCGGAGCTCCACGCTGACGTCCAGATTTCGATCAAAGAGGTCGCCGTCAAACCAAAATTTTCCATACATAATGATAGCATTAAGGTTTCCTTTTCTTAATGTAAGCCTTGATATAAAAACATTAGCAATCGCCTCGTTATTTTGAAAGCTGTCTTTCGATGCATTGTCTTGCTCCTCAGCAAATTTTCCGGTTTTTCCATTTTTGCAGGGGGTTTTTTCCTTAGCCATTGGCAACTTTTCTTATTATTGTGTCGTCCTCTCAACGCTGCACATAAAAATGTTAAAAGTCGTGACCGAAGTCTTTCTTAGAAAATGCCGCCCAGCCAGCAGAAAAAATTTATTTCTGAAAATTTGCAGTGAAGCTGGGGATGTATTAGGCGACTCAACACCCAACGGATGGGATACCGCATGCTGAGAGCGGGCGGGATGAGAGAATGCTTCCGGCTCTCGGAACCAATCAGATCGCAGGATTTGCAAGCGCTCACCGCCTGCTCATGTACTGAGAACAAAAAATTCTTACTGACGGGCGTATAGTCTATTCGAGACCGTGCCCAGCAGTCTGATCAGAAGCGTATAATTTTTAAGTGTCGACAACCGTCCTCTAAAACAACAAATTAATTTTTGGAATTGCTCGACATTTCTCAACAAACATCTGATATTCTTAAGAAGTATAAAGAACTTTTCATTTGAAATTCTGTGAAAATTTCTGACTGCCAGGCATTTAGTCTATTTGAGGCCGTGCCCGGCTGTAGGTCATTTAGCCACAGGAATTTTAAAACGTCTCAATTGGGTCATATTACATTGTAAAATGAACTTACTACAACAGTATTATCTGAATTTTTTAGTGTTCTGTTTATCTTACAAATGCACTCGACTGATATATTATGGTTATTGCTAACTCAATACGTGGCCTCCTTAAAATGGACCTATCAGTGATCAATATTCTCGTAGCTAGGTTGGTACACTGTAACTCACTCGAGTTTCCAAGTGCAAAAGCAGACCACCAACGAATGGTAATCGAAAGTCCAGTCTGCAGGTTCAGCAGAACCGGCTCTACGAGCCAAGTATGATACAAGACAAAATTTTTTTTTCGCCGGTGGTAGGATAATATAGGTAAAAAAGAACTGACTTGTAAGGAGCCTACTTAATTTAGGCATCGAAATGACTATCGCAAGTGTGTGATATTGCGTGACAGCAAACACCACGTGTCGCTTTCTCAATTTGATGAGGGCTGTGATATTCAACCCTATTCCAAAAGAATGCCTATTTTTAGAATCGCGGAGAAAAATTTATTCTGATACCGTAACATACGCTCGCTGATCTGCACTTTCTCTATCTTTATCCGTAGCTTGGTGGTCGCCAGATGATAGCTACCTGAAATGGTGTCTTCCCGCTGTAAGAAGCGCCTCATAGCTCTAACGTTCTGCGCTGCAATTTCGCTACTGTTGCTTTACAAGGTCCAACTGGAGCGAACCGAGTCTGTGACTCTTCTTAAGCGAACGAAGGATTTTTCTGGGTGAGTCAAAAAGCGCCGTTATACTAGCGTAACTTCCATATTTTCTGATAAAATCTCCACTCGTATAACTCATAGATTATGGCTTTTTCTTCTCCTCTTAAAAGTCGTCTGTTTTGTCGATCTCTACGGCAAGTATATTACAGCTTAACACCAGCACGAAGTTATTGTAGAGTCTTATTCCTGTTTATCCTGCCACGAAATTTCGTTGGCGCAAATGGACCTGGAACAAAAGTATTTTTACCGTCATTTTATCTGAAACTCTGTATCTTTTTCACCAAACTGTTAAAGGAGAATCTATTGATTAAATGGATTTTCCCCTCACATTTTGAAAACGATCCGAAGTGTTTCATGTTTATACATACTTCCTTCATCCGGTACGGAAATCACGAGTTCGCGATTACACTTGAAACAGCAGTGAACAAAATTTTTAGCATCAGAATAGGTGATTTAATTTACAAATGGATTATTCAAATCCGGTGGAGCTCCGAAAAATTATTTCAAAAGCTTTTAGCACTGACAGATATTATCCGGCGACTGATCAGAGATTGTAACTTAAGAAGCATCTGTTCGGGCGAGTCAGGGAAAACACAACAACCATTTTTTTTTTCTGCGTGGGAACTAGATGGCAGCTGCTAAGAACACAGGCGGCCCAAGCTCACGTCTCGAGAAAATCATGAAATCGTCACGCGTTGTGTGACTCGGTGTTAAGTTACGAGAGGAACCATTGAAAATTTGAACACGTTATAAGGTATAGTATGGGGAACGAAATATGGTCGATTTACAACGATTAATATTTCGAAATATGAACATTTTAAAACGTAAAATCAATAACACTTACTCACGTCCTGTGTCAAAAGACGGAAGCCATCGACAGGAATAGCTTCGTTCCTCGTATAATAGTGGTGGTTACACACACCTTGGGTTTGGGGCCTCACCGAGGGTAAATGGCTTGGGTTTGGTTAAGCTCAGGTTTCATGTTACCCTTGGGGATGCGGTTACACAGTAAAGACTCCCTTCAGGGTCAAATATAATTAGATATTAGTTCACTGACCTGACAAATTGCGGGAGATCTATTAAGCTTAATTTCAGTGATTCTCCTGCTTATTATACGACAGTCCTCCATGAATATAACAGTCCAGCAGTTTTTTGCGAGAAGGCACCGAAGAAGGCGTGAAATTAGCCAAGCGCATTAGAGGTCACCTCAAAACACTGCAGGCGATTTCCTGTATTAGCTACATTCTGCTTTATGATTGGCTAAGCTACCTCAGGGAGCAGATAAACCGTTTTTTACAGTTCAGGAACTGTCATGCGAAATTCTTTTGTTCTTTTTGATGTATCCAAGGAAATAACCCTGGGGCAGTTTCGGTCTAGGGAAAGCGGTTACACACAAAAACGTCCTTGCCCGTGGGCAAACGCTACTTACCCATGGGTAAAAGGGCTAGTGTAACCACGACTAATATATAACGTATTCGAATTTTCAACGGTTCCTCTCCCGGTAACCAAGTCACACAACGCGTGACGATTTCATGAATCAATCGCTGACTTTTTCTTGAGACGTGAGCCTGGGCCAACTGTGTTGAGAAGGAAGGTTTCCAACAGTGTACACAGGCGCTGCCATGTTGATAACTCGTATAATTTGCCTCATCCATCGTTAAAGAACCAAATGATCTTATAAATCTGGCATGTTACAAAGTTCCTAACCATATTTTCGTGATCTTGCTTTTCCCGAAAGATTTGCAGGAGCTGCTCGCGCTTCGTTCACTTGTCCTCTCTGGAGGGTAGCAAAGACAGGTCCTGATCCCGTTACTTGTAAAAAGTTTAGAAAAATTCATGCGTCACACATTTAAATGGGAGAACCTCAAATCAATCCTCTTGTTGAAAGGGGTTCGGGTAACTCGCGTATCTTTCAAGAGGGAAAAGCACGCCTCACGCTGTTTTATAAATTCACGAAGCACGCTCGCCTTTCTTTAAATTTTACGCGTCACGTATTAACCTTTGGCCACCCTCTCTCTGAAGCAAACTACGGTCGAATCTGTATTAGGTGGCGCCGTTTTGCAGTCACCCCGCAGTCAGCGGTCACCCAGCATTCAGCGGTTGTTTCATGTTTAAAGTCCCGAAATTTACTCCTTTTTCAACTGTGTTTGTATTGTTCTCCACCAGCGTTGAACGGTCACATAAGCGCTACCACTCAAATAAAACTTAGCATGACCTTTAAATTAAAATTAAATCCGAAAATCAATGTTAGCAGTATTTTTGAGTGAGTTTTTGTAAATTAAGTGCCTGGTCATTCATGACAAAACATGGCAAAACATACTCCTACTCTGTGGAACCTGTGTTAACTCTTGCACTCCCAGATCAAATTTGTAATTCTCCTTACTGTCAACTTTACAATTCTTATAATGTTAGTTCAGAGAATTTACTATTGGATCAACTAGTTATCCCCAAATTGATATTTTTCTTTATTTTCATCTCTTATCTTGTTGACATTGCATTGATATTATAAGGAGAAATTCTGTCTTGGTCAGTCATGGGAGTTAAAGGGTGGGTGACTGCTTAATACAGGTTCGACTGTATTCTCCTCTTGATCTCTGTCTATAATGTTGTTGCATTTCGTGAAACCTATACGACAGTCACTATAACAATCGGAAAACCGTAAATTCTTTGATTTGATTCTGACGGGTCGATCAAAAAAAATAACAAAGAGTGACTTGGAGGAACATGTAAAAGTGAAAGGTTAAGGGCTGGCGGCGGAAAGCGTGACACATAACACACAGCATTTTTCCTTCCTTCGCTTGCTCTAGCAACGCCTTTTTTTCTGGCTTTGTTTGTCTTGCGGCGGCGAAAAAACATTTTATTCAGAACAATCATTTTATTTTCTATTTTTTGTCGATTCTTTTTTCAGTGTCATTCCTGAGAGAGACAAATCTTTCACCACGAGGGAAACACACGAAGACAAAAGAAAAGACAAAACAGGAGACGATGACTTGTTTGGTGACGACGATAATGACACGGATGAGGAGCTTAAAACAATTCCATTTGAAGCTGTAACCGACCCTCCGCGAAAGATCCACAGGGGACTGGAAGCAAATGATGAAGTTGAGGACACGTTAGACTGGCTAAATGAACATGGGGTTAATCGCCCATCCGACACCACTGAAGAGGAGGTACCGCTGGAAAAGCAGGTTCCTGATCCTGACATGTTACCGACTACAGCCAAGCCACTTACAAGAAGCAAAAATGGCAACACGTCTACTGTAAGTAACCTTGTCAAATCGAGAACATCTGAAACTGAGACAAACAAAAGTCATTCCTCTCTTTTGTTCACGTTACCGAGGTCAACCCAATCACTGAAACCAGAGAAAGTTAAAACTCGAAGCGAACATCGGAACTCGTCTACAAAGGTTGACGATGAGGAATTAGCGACCACAAGTAATTCGGCAAATCAATCCTCGGATATTACTACAACACCGAGGTCAACACAACCTTCAAAATCTGAACGCGACGAGAATCTTGAAACTGAGTTGAACTCTACGTTAGTAAGCGTTTTGTTTACTAATGCTACCTCAGGAACGCAGCAAGACCACTCTAGCCTTCCTTCCACTCCATATACAACACCAAGCTCCACAGGCGCACCAACACCTGTATACACCCCAACTCCGGATCTGAATTCTTGTAAACTGCCAGAACTTGACCCATGGGACCTCTCCATTAGACATCTGTTGAGAGATGTCGGTAACGACCCCGTCTGTGGAAATGGATACCCTGTATCTGCATTTGACATCGTTGGCAACAGACTGGTCCTCTCGGGGGAGGTGGATGGTAGTTCCATCGATTTCAGTCACGTAAACGTGGAGACAATTCATCGCAATCAGGGTGATGACGGTAACGTGCATTACGAGGATCAAGGGAATCCTTTCAAATCTTCAACACAGGAATACCAACCTTCCCGCAAGATAAACGCTTCGGATTTTTTGATTCTCGACTACAGACTTAAAAGTAGAAAAGAAGTTGCAACTTACTTCGCGCGAGCTGTTCCGCAACAAGATGTCATCGAAAATTCGAAACTGATTAGAGAAAAGCTCAATGGACAAGGAGAAAATGAAGGGTTAGACTTAAATGTTTTATTGCTTGGAATTGATTCTGTTTCTGCTGCAAACTTCCGCCGAAAGATGCCGAAAACGATAAACTATCTTAAGACGGCGCTGAAGACGTACTTCATGTCCGGTCAAACTGTAATTGGTGATGCTACAACACCCGCACTTACCGCCATTTTGACAGGCCTGTACGAGACAGAACCGCCCGAGGGCCGTCAAGGGTATCACAATGGCGCCCCCATTGATAACTGGCCCTGGATTATGAAACTGTACAAGGAGCGTGGATACGTTACATTGATGTCTGAAGATGACCCTACCATGGGTGCATTCAATCTAAGGCTCATGGGCTTTAGGGACCCTCCTGCTCATCACTATATGAGGCCGTTTTGGCTGGCACTGGAAGAAAAGGGCGAGCGAGACGAACCAGGATTATGCTCGCGTTCGACATTTATGGTTAATTATACCCTAGACTATATCCTCAGCTACTTTGCAGCGTATCCAGACACCCCAAAATTTACCTACGCTTTCATGTCGTACCTGACTCACGCGCATCCCAATCATCTAAGTTACGCTGACAACGACATCTTGCGATTGCTCCACACTTTTGTCGAACGCAATTACCACAACAACACTATGATTATACTATTTGGAGATCACGGCTCGCGAAATGACGACGTCCGAAATACTATGCAGGGTAAACTGGAGGAAAGGTTACCTTGGCTCTCTATCTCGGTTCCTGATTGGCTTATAAGGAAATTCCCGCATATAGGGTTGGCCTTGGAACATAATCAACACATAATAACATCACCGTTTGACATGCATGCCACGTTACGTCACATCTTAACATACCCTAAAGAGCCTCATGGAGAGAAGACACAGAGCTTGTTCACGCAATTACCACATACAAGGACTTGCAGTGATGCAGGTAAGAAAGAGTTTACATTTAAAATTAAATTTCGGTGCTTTTGGTTTCTAAGATTTCTCCTGTACTGGATGTCCTTTGTCGAGTTTCCTCGCGCAGGAAAGTCAGCGTGCCCTGAGAATTTGACGTTCTCCACTTATAGTTTTGACTAAAGATTTAACATCAAAGAAAGGTTTCTCTATCGCTCCATACCAGCCCGCTGGTGCACTTTGGTCGGTCAAGAATAACGTGCTGACAATGATTTACAATCTTAAGTCAAACAAAAAAATCCGCCAAGTCTACAGAACGCAAATATTTTCCTCAAGATTCTCTTATCCATCTAGAATACATTATGAGCTTCTTTGTCAACCAAGGATCTGTTCCGAATCTTTTTCGCCATGGCGCCATGTCGTACAGTTCAGATTATTTTCAAGTGCTTGTGTGCATATTTTTTTTAAAAAACACTCAAAAAATTCAAACTAACTTTTATTTTCATAATTGCCGTCTTCCAACACTAACTTTACCCTTTAACTCCCAAGATCTGATGGTTAATTCTCCCCACCAGCTGCAACACATTTCCTAGTCACGTGAATTTGGTGGAAACAGAACAACAACTCTTACCTGATATGTTTGAGTTTTCTCATTACCTGTTTGCTGAATAATAAATGGACATTATCTTGGAAAGTTACATTTTAATCAATTCAGGGAGTTAATTTTTTTTCAACTGAAGACTGACAACATTTCCTTTTTTTGCTTTTTTGTTTGTTTGCTTTTCTCAACAAGGAGTCGACGATCACTGGTGCCCATGCCTGGAGTTTACTGAGGTAAACGCAAGCAGTAAGGATGTGATTGGTGGAGCAGAAATGGCTGTCAAATACATTAATGACGTCATCCTAAGTAGAACAGAGCTACTAAGAGGGTCTTGCGCTAAGGTCCAGCTCAAAAAGATTTTAAAAGCTGTTCGCTACAGACCAAACGACAAACTGCGGAGATTTAGTAGCACCAATCAAGATTCAGATCGTGCCGTGAATTTCGGCGAACCAACTCCAGACAGTAGTCACTACAGAATTAATTTTATGACAACCCCTGGTGACGCATTATTTGAAGCATCAGTGGCCGTGAGAGATGATCACAAAGTCAAAGTGAACCCGTTTATAAGTCGGACAAATGTTTATGGAAATCAGCCCAGCTGTATTTCACGTAAAGAACCTTACGCTAGAAAATTCTGCTACTGCAAGGACATGAAAGCTCCAGTTTGATTTATTTCCCAGAGCACTATATTAGTAATGTTGCGCAAAAAGTTGAGTGAGGTGCGACGTAAGTTTGGCGACCACGTTTTAGTGTAAAGTCGTTTTGTTGTCACGGGCAAGTGGCTCCGTTTCCAGTGGCACCATATCATTTGACCTCTTTAGGGGAGGGTTGCCCGTGGCAACACCGTTTTTCACTGTTTAAACACGATACAAAAGTTTTTTCCGCGCCTAACTTAACCGAACACCGTGGTATATCTAATGAATCGACGGCTTTGTCCAGCCCCATTCGGACGTATCTCAAATAGTTACGATCGATTTTTGTAACAAAACCATCAAACTCGCAACTTAGCGACTAGCATCGAATTACGCGAAGTTTTGAAAGAGAAAAACGCGTACGCCTCCCTGAAGCATTCGCTCAGTTATCAGAGCCTCGAATTCACAACTACACGGACGTACGTAAGTACCTCGGTGTGGAGGTGGTAACATTATCCAATTGGATTGATTTAGATGTTATGCCAGCGAATTGAGAACAACTGAACTTATCAAGTGAAGATTCAAATTCTCCCTTCATAGCATTTAGGGAACACTGATGCCAGCAAGGAGAGTCAATGGATGCTGTGCAAAATAGAAATGTTAAATTATTAGACTAAAAAAAGAATAGCTAGTGATGCATAGAAACTATTTAATTATGGGACATTAATTTATTTTGAAATCAATATAAACGAAATTTTTGGTAACCAAAGACTTTTCATAGATTTTCTTTCTTTATTGGAGGTTGGTTGAATTATTTGGCATATGACCAGGTGCCAATTGGGTGAAAAATAGGAGGTTAGAGTTAGCAAAACGAAATATTAAAAATATAGATATTTATTTTATTTCTCATATTATAAAAAATACTACAAGAATCATATACCAGATGGCTATTGAAAAAGAGTAGGTTTATTCAAATTGATAAGTACCTTCTTGATAATTATATATGGAAAAAAATAACTTTTCTTTACATGTGCATCGTACTCTGTGTCAGCAGGGGTTGTAATCTATGACTTCACTAATAAAGTTCTTTTTCGTTTCAATTAGTTTTGTGGTAGAGAGGCTTTCTTGGAGAATTATCTTAGGCGGAACGAGTGAAAAAAAATGCTTTTGAAGAAGAAATTAAACATAAAAAAGAAGAAAAGAAAAGAAACAGAAAGACGCTCGGGATCTCAGACTTCTCGCTTGAGAGGGGAGGCCGTTTCTATTGCGCTAAGTATGCTTACGGGTGGCAGACCTGAGTAGATTATATGGATAACGCGAGACTTTCTTAACCAACGCCCAGAAAAGAAGGGGAAAAAAAGGAATCTTGTGATGTAATTGAACCTAAGAATGTAAGTTGGAAAAATACAGTAGTGGTGGTGCTCTCAAATTTTGCAATCTTCCATAAATCGAGAGGGGAGCAACACAGTCCGTAACTAATCAGTATGGACCTCAAATTCGGTCAAGAAGAATTATATCTTTGCAAATAATCAGCCCTCGCCCACCGGGGAGAACTCCGAGAACGAGGTTGTTTGGTTCTTCTGACTGCAAGGACTGGGAACTACTTTAGCTACCATGAGGAATATGGAGAGTGTGGTTGGAGAAACAGCACTATCATTTGACATGAAACTCCGAGAGAAAACGGCCCTTCAGCATCACTTAGATTTTAAAGCACACATATGTTCATTCGGTTCTTTCGTTTGAATTTATTATGAATGATTTCCTTGGCTGCCAGACACAAAAATGTTGAAGGTTGATGTCCATACACTCACCGCTGGACACCGAAACATCTGAAACTCGTGCAAGGATAAGGTATATCTGAAGGCTGTTTTGTTCTGTACATTTTTTTAAATTTAATTCTAGAGATGGTTTTCCCGAGCGTTAAATTTTTATTCCTGATAATCTACTGTTTAATTAATTCGTTTTGATTTTATTTTTGTACCCGAACGCGGGAAATTCAAATCTTCCCCTGAGGGCTATGCACTCTGATGGTTACATTTACCGAAGACTGAGTAGATAGCTGTATCTGTGCGATTCTGCGGTATACTACCCACTGCAGATGCATACAAGATGGGTTAATCCAGTCTAAACAGTGTTGATTATTGTATCCATTGCAGACAGAATAAATTGCAGTAGCCATGTTTTGTAGACACTGCAGATAGCTGTCTGTTTATGATATAAACACTCTATAGGTGTATATAAAGTAAAACAGTTTTTAAAGAAACTGTGGTGCTTCATTGATGGGGAGTAATACAAGACAATTTTGTTCTATCAACTGAGTTGATAATGTAAATTGGCCACTATTAAGAGTTTCTTAAGCTGACATTTCAAGCACTAGCCCTCCATCAATACTCAAAACATAAGGTTTAAAAACTCTTTACAATGGCCAATTTACTTTTTCAAATCAGTTGATAAAACCAAATCTCTTGTATTTAATAATAACGTAGACAGGGTAGATAGCTGCATCCTTGGTGGACTACAGCTTAGATAGCTGTATCTAATACATACAATAAAGATAGTTGTATCTATATTTATAGCAATGTGGATGGATCTATCTCCCGAAGTCAATATCAGGTCTTGCAAGAGAAATTTAATTTTTTCTGTCAAAAAACATGACCTAAAGCATAAAAACAAACAAGATAATTCGCACAGTTTAAAGGAAAATTCTGAAATTTATAAGGAAATTAAAAAAGTCTTGTCCTTGATCAAAGAAGAGTCATCTTTAGATAAGAAAGGTTGAAAAACTATTTCTTTAAAAAAGAAGTCATTGAATGTGATGTGCTTTCACATCATGCAAAGCCCTCTGCTAACTTAAACCTTTTCCATGGAAGTTCCATTACACGGTGAGCTATTTACTACACAATCTAATTTGGGTTCAAACCATTTACTAAACAGAGAAGACATGTTTTGATTGATGAGGTGACCAATTTCTGATAAGATGATATTAACCTTTTATCTCCCATTAGTGACCAACACAGAATTTCTCCTTATAATATCAATACAATATCATCCATATTAGTGATGAGAATAAAGAAAAATATCAATTTGGGAATAGTTCATTGATCCAATACTAGATTCTGTGAACTAACATTATAAGAATTGTATGGTTACCAGTAATGGGAATTACAAATTTGATCTTGGAGTTAAAGAGTAAAATGACACATGCTGATTAGTTATTTCAATCTTAAGCCTGTTTCTGAATATGTAATGAGTTTCTGTGCCTAATTGATGATCACTTTTTGTAAGAGATGGGTAACAAAATGTTGAGCCAGTAAGAGTCAGTGTCACCCAAAAAAATACCTTCTTAAGTCTTCATCTTTACAAAAAAAAGAAAAGCTGTTTGGAAATTGACTGTCTTTTCAGTTTCACCCTACACAACTCCTTAGTCTTGATCTGTGATGCAAAGACATAGTCCTCCCTTAAAAGAGGAAAAATTGTTTCAGATAGTGGACTGTCTTCATGTACTGAGTGAGTGTTTGAATTGGTACAAGAGATGGGTAACTGGAAGCTGACTGGGTAAAGAGTTGGTACACAACCCTTCCTTAGCCATGATCTGTGATGCGAAGACTTAGTCCCCAACAAAGAGGATATATTGTTTCTGATACTGGACTGTCTTTAGGCACTGATCAGGTGTTTGACTTTGTACATGAGATGGGTGACTGAAGGCTGACCTGCTAAGGAGTCGGTTTCAACAAACACAACTCTTCCTTAGTCTTGATCTATGATGCAAAGACTTGGTCCTCAAAAAAGAGGAAAAACTGTTTGAGACACTGGACTGTCTTTATGCACTGATCGGATGTTTAACTTTGCACCAGAGATGGGTGACTAATAAGTGACCTACTAAGGTGTCGGTTACACTCAACAAACCTCTGAAAATATTTGATTAGACTTAATTTCTGCTTTATACATGAAAGCTTATTTATTAACTAAAGGAGTTATGTTTGTTGATTTTTGTATCTTTCAATCCTGATACAGGACAAAACCAAGAGCAGAGACAAGTTTTACTGTCTTAGATTCCAGTTGATTATTGGACCATGATTGTCTCAATGAGGTGTTCAAGGTAAGTGTTTCGTTATCGTTAGGATGCTGCACGTATTCAATTTAAACTACAACATAGAAGCATCATTTTACATATGTAGCTGGGCTGGGCTTTTTACAGCACGTGACTCGCCTATCAGAATTTACCATCTAGTTTGGGTGGAATGTAAAGACAATCTCATTTACATAGAGCTCTGTCCTTGCGCGACGAGTTCTCTTTACGGCTCAAGCGCAACTCTTCCACAAAATCTCACGAATAAAATCTCACTTAAGCAGAGAAAAACACGTAACCTACAGCCAATTATTGTAATTAGACATTTAGGGCCTGTTTAAAGGAATGTGGGGGACCCAAGGTAGGTGAGGTAACCCACCTAGCCGTGGTCGATAAAAATCCCATGTTTACATACAATCTTGCAACCCCGGGATGCTGGGGTGAAGTTTCTCGAGGTTGTTATCGCCATTGCGGCATAACATGCGAATGTAGGGTTGAGTTCAAAGTAAAAACGTGACTAAATCGCCGTCGAGGTTTCATTGCTAAGAGGACGTAAACAAAGGTATGTTAGCGTTTTAGCTCGTGACGCGCGTGGGACTGCAAGGAAATGTAAAAAGTTTTAACACACTTGTGTATCGCTATTGTTTGGCTCATTTGATCTTTTTGTAACATGAACGCCACCCCGGCTAGGCGGGTTACCCCACCTTGAGGCGTTTACATGGCAAATTATCACCCCGGCTGACATGGTTACCCTACTCAGCAGACCAGGCAACCCGGCTAAGCGGGTCACCCCACCTATCATGTAAACGTGATCAAGATAAAATAAGAGATTATATGGACTGGCGGGTTACCCCACTTAGGCGGGTAACCTCACCAAACTGGGGTCCCCCACCTCCATATAAACAGGCCCTTCAGAGCTTTTTGTTCGCTAAGTGAAAGCCAAGTTTTCAGAAGAAAGAAAGAATTTGGCTCTTTGGCTTACAAAAGAGTAAAATCGAATTTTAAAAAAATAACTACACAAGAACGAGAATGTTCAAGCCCTAACTCATGAATGCGAACCTTATATGAAAATTGTCAATTGAACAAAATCGAATAAATACGAGGCGTAGAAGATTTTTTTACTGATAGATGTCACAATTTTGAATTTAATTTTTAAAAATTATGACAGCAGAAATTTCATTTCGTCTATTCTTAAACTCAGCAGTTAATTTTTTAAGAAGCCAGGTTTTCTCGAGCAGATCCTTTTCGTTTTAAACCTGCAAAAATCCATTCGATTCACTGCTTCACTAAACCGCCAAATTTAAGAGCTAGTTTGACTCAAAATCTTCAAGAAATATTCTGCTAGTCGCTCTCTAAATACCAAACTTTTGCAACGCGTCCCAGCAATGAAAACATCCGAAACCGGCTTTCGTTCTCATGAAATTCTACGTCCTCCAAGAAAGCAAGCGGCCTTAAGCTGTTTTAAAGGAAACTTTTGCCTGAACCTCTGGTTCCTTATTAAAGCGAAATGCATCCGCGTTTTGAGTGATCGCGTAATAAACCCTAGCTTGCTGAAAGAATTTAGACGCTTCCAGGTTGCATGCTTCTGATATAGGCCTGTTGGTATAGGATCAGGTAATACTCAACAGCTTTCAATATAGGATTAAAAGTTAATGAATCTTTTGTGACTCACTTAAGTTCAAAGTCTCCTTAGCTGTCTCTTCAGGTAGATTGGTATAACTCAGATTGTCAATTTGTTTGGAGGCGAATAATTTTCGTTTTAGGCCGGCTTTGTTATGGCGCCCTTTGGTATGACGATTTTTGTTCCCCTTCACATGGTGGCCACAGGTCGGGGAAATTTCAAGGAAAAAAATGTTTTTAAATGTCAGGGAATTTCACGTTGACTCAGGGAAAATTAAGGCTTTAAAAGGAGTCAAGGAAAAGTGAAATCTGTAATAAATATGATCTCATTCCTCTTGTTTTGGCCTCTTCGTTTCCCCTTCAAATGCAAGCCCAAGTAGGTTTTAGAATAAAATCATACATTTTCTTCTCTCGTTTATTTTCATGGTTTTCGAACTTTTTCAATTCTTTGGTAAATTTCACGGACATGAAACTTGTTTGATAGGGAGAATATTTTATTAACGAAATGAACAGCAGGCTGTTGGGTTTCCAAGAGAATCAATCCTTTTCCCTCGCTATGTTAAGGAATTCTGGACCCATGTAGTCTACATGTGACTTGCTGAAAGCCTGATGCATGGTTGGGGAGGATGTGTGAAGGAAGGTCGGAGGCCATTATCCGGACTGATTTGTCACACTTTTGATTCAGTTTATCAGGGGAATTGTACATTTTTCTGGGAAAAGTCAGGGAAACTCGGCAAATTTCAAAACCTGTGGCTGTGGCAACCATGGTTAACGTTAGCATCTTGCCTGAACGACAGACTAGTTTTGCCTGAATTATGCTATTATTTTTAGACAAACTATTTTCAAAAACTCTTCAGGGCTGGTCTAATTAATGTTTATAGTAACATAGCTTATTATTTCGTGGTTTCATTTACTTCCATTTTCCCTCCTTTTTGATGACATAACCTGGGAGCTGACACAACATTAGAGGCTGGTGGTACTCAAAAACTTTTCAGGGCTGGTCTAATTAATCTAATTAGTTTTGTCTCCTGAAAACGGCAGGTAGTTATTTGGTCTTTCGATCGACTAAATTCGAAATGCACCAAAGCAAACTTTTTATGTCAATTCTTCAGCTTTGATCTGAAAATAGTTTTAATTTTCAACTCGAAAATTTGTCGATCAGTTGTATCTTAAATAATTTGGATTATTAGAAACAATAATTGAAACGAATTAACTGTCAGAACTACTAAAATGTTTCCTTATTTTCAATTTCAGTGATGAGATTAAGATGAATGGATAAGTTTAATGTTAACCGGTGGTCCTAAATTTTCATCTTCAATTGTTTGTGGCTTTAAGGGTTAAAAATATATTTAACCAGAACTAGTGGTCTTGAGTTATAATCGTTTAATTTTCCTGGTCTCTTCGATGCTGGAAAAATAGTATTAGGTAAAAATGTTACTTTAAATAATTGTTGTGGCGTAGTTGAACGAAAGCTTGTGTAATTCTGTTATGATGGTCCAGAAATTGTCTGTGAACAGTACATTTTTTAACACTGCCAAAATGTTACTTTAAATAATTGTTGTGGCGTAGTTGAACGAAAGCTTGTGTAATTCTGTTATGATGATCCATAAATTGTCTGTGAACAGTACATTTTTAATACTGCCAATTTGTATGTATACAATTATCGCGTACCTCTCCTCTTCCAGTAACCCCAAAGATTACAAGTGTAAAAAGAAGGTCAAGAAAGACGAGAATACTTTTTATTCCGGTGAGTGTAGCTTTGTAGTTCACTTGAACGAAAACTTGTGTAATGGAAGTTTTTCATGATCTTTTGAGAGGAAAAATTTGTGTCGTCCTTGTTATGAAGGACAGAGGCTTGTGGAGGTTTGTCTTAGTCTTGTGGCCGGAAAAGTTCGTTTGTCGGTAACGTTTTTATGGCTCAAATTCTTGGTTTTGATTTCATTTCCCTGTTTTGTAGGTTTCTTCGACCACCCACAGCTGGATACCAGGGAACACGATCACCTTAAACATGAAACTAGAGACAAAAGACAAGAGACAAATATCAATCTTGGAAAGAAAGCAAAATTGGATCGACCCCCAATTCAGAGAAAAAAATGAAAAAATGGGGTTCGACCCGTCCACCATTCCCCATCACACCCGCCTCTATTAGACACTTTATAACAGTTCTCTACCTTGGAAAGTAACCAAAAGCAGTTCCCCGTACACCACCCCTTTCACTTTCAGTCAGTTTTGTTACTCTTGATAAGTCATCTACTCTGTGGTACAAACATCTTTTAATACACCACAGTACAGTATTACATAAAAATCTTTAATAAACACTACAATAGTAATATTACAATATTTTTAAACATCTTACAATACAGTAATATTACAATACTCAGACAGTTTCTTTTTTCACCCATCCGACCTCCCCCGCCGCACCCACCTCTGACAAACAGTTTTCTTAAATCATTCTAAGCGTAGTCAACCTTGTGGTACTAACATTTATTTCAAAGTCATGCATTTTGTGCAACCAAATGTGTGTCTTTAGACACATGCGTATTACAAGATGTTGTTACCACAACGTACACATGTATTTTACAAATACTTAAAAATTCCTATAAGAGACGGGTGTAGAGGGGGTGGGTGGCAGATCGACCCCAAATTTTCCATTCTCTCCGAGGTTGATATTTTTCTTAGGACTCTTGCTTTCCTTCTCGTAAATCTGAAGTAAATTCAAGAACATTAATTGATATATAAATAAATTTGAAAGAAAAAATGAAATCAATAACATAGAATGGATGAGCTTTTTCTCTGTAACTATACATTATTCCATCACCTTGTTCCATAGATATTTAAAACTGGCCGCAAATTAACGACAACATTCACTACGAGAAAAGCACAGTAAAAATTATCAGAATGACAGAAAGGAAAAAGCAAGAAAAGAAAATCGAGGAAAAGAAAAAACCATAGACCGAGTGCTGCTATTGAATTTGAGTCTTTGGAAAACACTTCAATCCCTCGGGAAGCGTAGAATTTGGTTCACGCATGGAATTTGCATAATATAACGTATGCTCTGATCATTTCTTTCTATAATGGCTCCACAACGTTAATAAAAATAAAAAAAAAAGAATTCACGTTTTCTCCAGAATTTCGCTAGAGGGTAGATTTAATTACCGTCTCTAATGGCGCCACACCTCATCTTCAGCATAAGATATGTAATTAGCTTTTATTTTCAAATGGAAACGTGAATAGTGCCTTTCCTCCTTCCAAGCAAAATTTGGCGAATTAGGTTGTTGTTTTGCAGAGGATAGCTAAGAAATGTACAGAATTTTAAAATGCACGTGTTGAACTACTGATGCGCTCATTAAACCTTTTGTTTGGCCACGTTCTCGTTGCTAAAGCCGTATGGTTTGCTTAAGGTCTTTGTTTTCAAACCAAACCTCTGAATTAATGAAAAAAATACATATTACCAGAACCGGGTAAGATGTAGACATTTCTAACCTGAAATCAGTATATCGACATTTAAGCTTGGGCTAAACTTCAGAATACCCCGCAACTCATTTCCGCCTCACTTACATGTGTCGGGAGGCTTTGAAGATCGAGGCATAACACAATAGACGCTATTCTTATTCAATGACATGTAAATGAGTTGCGGGGTATTCTGAAGTTGCTCCTAAGCTTGAAACTTTCAATCCCCGAAGACAGCCCAGACAATTCATCCACTACTGCAATCTTCAAATAAATAATTGTCCATCTGAAAAATATAATTTGTGCAAAACATATTTGCGGGTGTAAATACCTGCCAGATTGCTTCACCATTTATTGAATGTTAATCTTTGATTACCATACATTTATATCAGAAAAAATTCAAAAAGGAATAAAAGAAAAAGCAGAGCCAAAGTGAACTCCATTTCACTACTCTTGCCAATTTCCCTACCCCTCCACCCGAGAGGAAAGAGGTTGGCTCTAACTGAAAATTGGTAGCTGATTATTTTGGCGCTGAAAAAAGCGACAGTACATCACGACCACACATTTACCGTGGCATTAAGTCACAAGGATAAAGTTTTAGAATGGCCAAGTCAGGGCTGGCCTCAGATGTTATTGCTGCTCTTTTCCAAAGGCTATTACAACACGTTCTGTTCTCAAGAGCGAATAAAAACGCAAAAACTGGTTAACTGTACGAGTCGTGAGGACACAATTCAAGTATACAAAGTCTATGAGTAAACTTGGAAAACGATGTTGTTGTTTAGATGTAACTTCCCCGAAAGGCAGCTGACTCACACTAACAAATAACGAACTATATTCTAACAACTGTTTGACAATTCGTCTGACTGTAAAACATTCTTAACTAAAATGCGCGCGTTTCAGAACTGCTCTCGATCGTTTCATTTTGCCCACACTACTCTGAGTTGACTTACTGAATTCTAGATTCCTGTCACTACTCCATCTACGTTTTGAAAGATAATTGAATGAAAAACTATCTAACGAACCCAAAAATTCATACTATACCCCACAAGTTGCAGCCTACAAATACACGCAAATTCACTCGGTAGAGCCGAAAGTTTTAGAATAAATCTTGCGTACTACGCGCCACATTTCGTTTGTTTTTGGTATAGAAATGTGTGAAGATGAGATTAAATACACAGAATCAAACTTAAGAGAGAACTCAAAGTGTCACTGAATACCTGTTTGTGACTGGTACTTAGAAGTGCACACGATCTTGTTGTGTGAAGTTGTAGTCTACCTGTGACTTAAGGCGTGGCTTCCTTTGTTTGTGTCGGATCTGAAAACAGAAATGGTTTGCAAAAAGTTTGAGTCATTGGGTTTCTTCCTGTTTGATTTGAAGACTTAATATAAGTGTAACCAATAAGTGCATGATGATCATTTATAGAAAGTGGCACTTACATAGGCTTGACTAATCCAGATAACGGGTTTTTGAACGCTTGGAATACTGCTATAGTCAGCCCTTGTACAAGAAATCAAAGTGCTCTGTGAGCAAACTCGTGAATTGACACATGATTTTGGCACATGATGTTTAATGTTATCTGGTTTAGGAAATTTGGTGGTTGATTGTCATATCTAGAGTACGAGCAGTAGTTCAGTATTCGCTAATGTAGCAAAGAAACAAAGTAACGTTGGGATAAGAAGGCATTACAATTGAAATGATCATGCTATTACATTTGACAAGGTGGATGATGTCATGTGTTTTCTATCATTTTTGTTTCTGGTTCAAAAGAAAAGGTTGGAAGTAAATGTGGGTGAAAAGTGAAATTTACTGTCTTTCATTGTAAATATTAGAAAATCAAGGCAATACTGTCTTAATGAAAACATTAACGATTCCCTCTTTATCAAATCAGACAAACTGGAACTAGTTTTGAGTGATATAACTAAGCCAAGCCTGCCACCGTCATTTTGGATCTCCGCCTGGGTAGATTTAAGTCACGTGCTAGGCAACGTATAATCAATAACAAGATAGAATTTCATTTCAGGCCTATTTATCAATTTTGTGGTGTGTAACTTTCGCATTTTAGTACGTTGTATGTATGTTGAATCTTCAAATTGTCTTGAAACTTAAAAGAAAATTGTTCTTTAAAAATTCTCTGAAAATCGGTAGCTAAAATTGTTTGTTTAGGTGTTATCTGATTTTCGTGTTAACTTGTAATTTCGTCAGTCGCCGGCATCTTTTGTTGCTTCACACAGGAAAAACACACGCGACGAAACGTAATGATCAATTTTGTCCTCAATCTCACGCCATAACAGAAAAAGCTTTTGAACATCTGTAAACTCCGAGCGCTTCTCAGTAAGTAATATTTTCAATGAATCTTCGGATTGTTTTCGAGTTCAAGAATTGTAAATTACAATTTTATGAAAAACGAAGGTTGTTCTGTTATTTCAGTGTGAATCCTTGCATGCCTGCCAGTAGCTGGCGCCGCTTGTTGAAACTAAAACGAAAAAAAAAACTCTTTTAAGATTATCATTGGCTTCTTTTTCACCCCACCACTATTCTTAGCAACAAAGGTCGCCATTTCTTCTGTTTACTGTTCGCTAAAAACTATCAAATGTACTCAAAAGCCTAAAATCTAAAAAAAGTTTACAGGAATCGACCAATCGAGCGAGCGAGCGAGCGAGCGAATGCTATTCCCCACATGGTATCTATAACTCGCTCTTGCGCATGCGCGCAATTCACGAGTTAAAAAGGAGACAGTTGCTAGGTTTCCACGACTGACTTTCACATCATCCCCAGTAAAACAATATTCCGGTGGTGTAAGTAAGTCAAAAGATATGGTAATACACATTTTTCTTTGAATTGAAAGAGGGGTACATGTAAATACTTTTTTCTTGTCAAAGATTGCCCTTCTCAGTTTCCCAGACCAGCCCAGAAGTGAAAAATAAAGTTGAGCCTATCAGAGAGAAATAGTCGAATGGAAAGGCAATAAATCAATTCAACACCCAAGTACATGTTCATGTAGGTTCAGTATGTAATCATTCAACATAAAATAATTAATCACTCTATCACTTTCTCAATAACTCAATATGTTATCAATTCAGTTGATCAGTCAGTCAGTCAGCCAGCCAGTCAGTAAGTCAGTCAGCCAGCCAGTCAGTCAGTCAGCCAGTCAGTCAGTCAGTCAGTCAGCCAGTCAGTCAGTCAGTCAGTCAGCCAGTCAGCCAACCAGTCAATCAGTCAGTCAGTCACCCAGCCAGTCTGTCAGCCAGTCAGTCAGTCTGTTGGCCAGTCAGTCAGTCTGCCAGTGAGCTAGCTGGCAAATCAGTCAGTCAGTCAGCAAGCCAACCAGTCAGTCAGTCAGTCAGTCTGTCAGTCAGTAGTCTGTCAGCCTGTCAGCCAGTCAATCAGTCAGTCTGTCAGTCAGCGGGTCAACAAGTCAGCCAGTCAGTCTGCCAGCAAGCCAGCCAGCCAGTCAGTCTGCAAGTCAGACAGTAAGTCTGTCAGCAAGCCAGCCAATCAGTCAGACAGCAAGTCAGACAGTCTGTCAGCCAATCAGTCAGTCATTCAGTCAGTCATTCAGTCAGTCAGTCAGCCAGTCAGCCAGCCAACCAGTAAGTCAGTCAGTCATGTATTCTAGTGAAGATGAATGAACTCTTTGACCTACATGACTCCAAAGTATTCTACTTCTGGCACTTCATGGATTGAAACAGCTCACCGGAATGCTGAAGTTGTCACACACCAAAAACCATCACTCAAGACCAACAAACATTTCAGATAAACTGTCAGGAGTTAGGACTGTCAAGGAAACATAAGGAGGCAATTTGTCTGGCAGCAAACTGTAATTCAAAGATCCTTCAGTCACACAGTCAGGTTACAGGCTTGACTTTATTCTTTTTTAAGTTTCTGCAAGTCAAATGAACATTCCCTTCTGTATAATTGGAATTGGAAAAAATATATCTGCTTCATTTGTTACTCCTGAAGTAGCACTCCATTTGTTGACAATTAATACCCTGTACCACTCTTTTACCCTTATTTGAAAATGGCTATCCTATTTATTTCATCTGAACTTCTTAAATACCCTTAGAAGTAAAACTGTACTTGGAAGACAACTCATTTTGGTGGGGAAAAAAGCAAGACATTAACTGTTTTAGGTAACAGCATGACTGGTAGGGGTATTTGACAATGATACTGCAAGAATAGAGATGTCTAGTAACAGATCAAAGATGTCCTCAAAATCTGGTAAGAACAAAAGAGTGACACATGAGGCCCAGGCAATTGTACCACTGTTGTTCCTAATACATTTTAACATCTCCTGTGATCTATCACTGAACTGAACATAATTGTTTTATATCATAAAAAAGCAAAATTTTGTTACTTGTGGCATTATCTTTGTCCCTGTCCTCTAATAAACCATAGATAAGAACCAATCAAAATGTGTGTAAAATTCAACTTATCATATAGATACAAATAGACTAGAATCACACCATATGTATTTGTGATGAGTGCACTTCACACTTTCTGCTTCAGACACCATTTGATAAACAAGTATTACACAAAACGTCTCACAGTGTAAGTTTGCCTTCCAAAACCGTTGAGAAAGAAAACGAAGAAAAAACTGATCGAATGCGAGTATTATAACATGTTGTTATGGATCAAGCGTTATCACTTTGGTATCTACCTATAGAATTACATTGAGCTCGTTTCAAGCCTCGTCTCATGGCGGACTGAGGCCTTAAACAATGTTTCAAAAAGAGCTTATCCTCACCACCAAGGAATGGGCCAAAAAGATCCGCGACAGAAGACCTCAGGAAGGTGACTAGGCGACAATACGTAGGTCAAAATAAAATGTAACAAAGTGTGCAAATTACTGTTTATGTATCGAGGATCGATTTACTCGACAAATTGTCTCTGTTCTCAGACCCACTTTTGTGCCCAGTCAGTATTCTGCAGCTAGAGACCCGACTTAAAATCTTATAGCTTCAGGATTATCGTGCTCAAATAAAAGTTACATTAATGACGATCGTATTTGTTCCTTACCTTTACCTTGTAGTTGAACTGACTGTCACACGTGGTCTCCATTTCAGAGATTTTCATCCACCGTGAGGCCATTTTTCAATTCATACACTATCAAACAAGAGAAAAAATGTATTGAAAGGCAACTGTTGTCTAAGCTGCTGTTTTTGCCCCTGCTTGGGAAACAGAATGGTCAGTTTGCATCCATCGCTCTCAAAGTATCACAAAAAAGAACTTTAAAACTTTAACTAGTTCCAGTGTTTTTCGTCCAATAGAGCAAATGCGTCACGCATGGCTCGTCACGCAACATGCATAATTGGGGGGCAGTGAGCTACCCATCTACATTGTCATTTGACAATGGTATTTTTTTTCTTTTAAATATCAATATATTTTTTTGATAACGATGGGATACTGCTGGCACTGACTATAATCTAGCCCAATCCAATCACCTGGTTCTGACTCCATGGAGAGATGTTGCTCTACCCAAGTACCCTTCCCAAGTAAACACTTGTGCAGTCAGACAGTTATCGTAGACGCAAACGTTAATAACTTAGTACGCGTTAACCTGCGTTTTTCCAGTGAGGGAACTAATTTCAGCGGATTCACGAAGATCCTTAAAATGTTTATGGTACATAAACGAAATGGTAAACGAACGTAGCTGCATTCGCGAGCTTGTATTTCCATTAATATCCGTTGGTTTTGGCAGTTTTCTCGTTCCCTGGAAAGGTGGCGTGCCATTTATGCAAGACAAAGACCGTGCACTACGATAAGATCTCCTTAAAGTCATGTCGCATTTTAACAAACAAAAAAAAGAGGCATTGTGTGGTATTTCAATTAACAAAAGTTTCTTCACTCTTGACCGCGGCACATTTTGGATTGACAGCATTTACAACACTATCCTTGTGTTACCCTGAATTCAGTAATACTGATTTTACCCTTTAACTTCCAGAAGCGATTAATTTGTTACTTCTCTTCCTAATGTCCTTACATTATCCAGCAAACAGGTAATAATATTACTTCAACTTATCAGGTAGAAGTTGTTGTCTTGATTTAACACCAAATTCCTGGTGACTTACATGACAATATGCGGCAGCTGGAGGGGAGAAGTAAAAATCAGATCTTGGGAGTGAAAGGGTTAAGTAATAAAATGACGAACAAAAAAAGGAAGATTCAGCAACAACAAAAAAATTCTTTATTTAATTTATTTGTCACTCATATTCCACTAAATTTTTCAAACAACCGCGAGGAATCACAGACACGTGACGTTGTTTCCCACTACTTCCAGCAATACTTTGGCTCAAACTTTCACACCGAAGCGTTATCGAAAACTCTGAGATTCTACGAAAAAGACGGCTAACTACAAACTTTTCAGAACCTATTTATCTCAGCTCAACTTTACCACTAGCATTTCCTAATTTTGCCATATTAATAATTACTATTTCAATATTAAATTTTAAAAGTTCCCTGTTCTATCATTTCATTCGAGATTATTTAACAATTCATCTGTCATTTAAACTTTTTCTTTTCAGAATTATTTTTTAAGCCTCGCATATGCCGTTGCGACTCCCACATCATTCTGGAACTAACTCAAACGAAAATCAACAGAAATCAGATTTCTCGTGCTGATCTATCTTTGAAGTGTTGTGCTCAAGCAAGAACATGAAGCTGTGCAAAGCTATCAGCTTATGATCTGTTCAACAGTGGCTTTTGAGAAAGGTTTCTGTCATGGCAACAACTGGCGCCCCAGTAGGAACTTGTGGGAATGTACCACTTGATCCAGCAATGTCAAAGTGAGAGTAGCAGAGTGGCTGGTTTGAGTCAATACCATGCTAGTATGAAAAATAAATGAATGAATAAATAAATAAATTTAACAGATAAATTCCATATTGCCGTGCGTTTGTTCATAATAGATCGAAAATGACGTCAACATGTGGTAAGGACAAAAAGGGCCAATTACGCGCAACCTTGTGTGTCACCGATGTTTTACCACATTTTGACTTCTCCTGTGATCTATAACTATGCAGACCCACAGCAACACGGAATCTATTTGTTTTATAAGATTTAGAAGCAAAATGTTGTTAGCGGTGACAATCTTTGCGCTTCTCCTCCAGTAGATCATAAGAGAGAACCAATCAAAATGCGTGTATAATTCTGCTTATTATTAGTATATTTAGTGATAACAAAGTACAACATATTGATTGTTCGATGTTTCAAACTAAAAAATAAGAGATCTTCACATCCAACCAATCGATGCACGATTAGCTACAGTGTACCCAACTGCAGAAAAATTTCATCGAAGTAGCGCAGAAAGAAAAAACCCCTCTTTACAAAGTAACATTTGAACTCACCTTATCAAGTCCTGAGGCCCTGATGAGGAAAGCAGCTGGGAACTGATGTCCTCTGGGTGTTCTACTGGATGGAGAGTTATTACACTGCAATACATCTGCGTACTCTGAATGGGCTCTGACGAAGTCGTAATCCTGAATAGAGTCAATAAATTTGTTAGCTGGGTTCCCTGTTTGTTTAGTTTTCGCTCTTTAGGACGAAAGGATCTCCATGACTTAGAATATTCTGGGTTTGGCAAAGCGAAGGTTTACAATTTTTTATTTTGGGACGAGGCTTGTGAAGTAACTGAGTAAAATTTACGTGAAAACCAATAAAGAGGACTGTTGGTCCTTGAAAATCAAACAAAGAACAAACACAACCTATTCATATTAGTTCAATCTTGCCGAGTTTTTAACACGGATTTGGAAATAACAGTGTTAAACAACTTTTCTGCATAATTTTTTGTGATAACTGTGTAAGATTAAAAGCGACTTAAATTTAACCCTCAAAGATTTTAAAAAAGAAATGCACACAAATGAATACCAATGAACGCTTCCCAACGCCGCAATATCGCAATATCGGTTTTCTCTGTAACTAAATGAAAACTGGTAGTAAAGATGTACGATACATGAGGCAGTTGTGAAGGCAAAAGAAAAGTGACATTTAATTTGCTTTTTATCTGGTTTTCGTTTACCACTGCCTCACGTTTAACCCTTTACATACTAACATCAGTTTGAATATTCTCCACACTGTTCTCTGTACATATCCTAGGGTGCTACTAATGAGAATTTGTTTTAACAATCAAGAGCTTCTTTAACTGGTGACCATTTCCTTTATTCTCGTTACCTAAATAAGTCTGATTCAGGGGTGATACTGTCGGGAGAAATAAGATGTCAGTCCATGAAGTCGTTGAAGGAGAATTTCAGGCAACCCATTCGCTTTTTTTCCTTTCTCTTTAAGACAAAAAAATTCAGAGATTGAAAATGTTTGGCCGCCGCAAAGTGAGATTGCTTACTTCAAAAATTCACTTAAATCAAAAGAATGAAAAAAATTTAGGGTGACGACGACTTAAGACAAGATTAAGATGATAATTATATGAATAAAGCTTATCAAATACCTCTCTACGAACTGTCGAGATTTCAAACGGATCACCCATGTCATGTCCAGCTAGAAATATAACAAACAAATTATTGAGTGAGTGTGAGAACGACTCACAATTCACGCTGGCTGAACTTTGGATTTTAAAGTTCGCATGTTCTTGAAAAGACTAGTAGTACCAGGCTTAACGAGTAAAAAGCACCAACCTTTTTGGATATTTTGAGCAAACTTGGTACGAGCTGCAGGCCCATTGTCAATCACAATCTAATAAGGAAAACAGGAAGGTAAATAAACGATGTTTCACACATCAAGGACATGAAATTCGAGTCAATATTATACGTACCACATCAGTTCTTTTTCCAGTTCTAAGCCTCCTGATACTTAGCTAGTTACCCCCCCTCGCTTAAGTTAAAGGCCACGTCAATTTTTAATCCTCTACCCTCTGACTTGAGCCCTAGAGTACAACTCCGCCCCTTCCCCCACTACCCTGAGGGGGATTAAACGCTCGTCTGTCACAGACTATCTCAGCACTGAGTCAGTTTGCCCTGGTAATTCGCGATGTTTATTACGCGCACTTACTTGAGGTTAATAGTTTTAGCTAAAAATTTGGGCCCCAAGTAATGACTAAATCACGCTAAAATATGTCACACCTTGCAAGACTATGTTCTACCAGTTTCCTGAACACGTAAATGCGGGTATTGCTGCAAATGTTCGCATATCTGTGGGCGTGTTTTTACGAAATGTAAGACATATTGCTCCAAGGTATGTATACAGGTGTGGTTAGTTGTATTGTCAAACTCCCAGATGAAGTGTTCGTTGGAAACGCCAAACGAGTAGGAGAAAATAAACGAGTTATGCAACTACTTGTTTTCAGAAGTGAAGCTCACTGGTTTATCTTAGAAAAAAAATATAATGTAGTGTAGTATGTCGTTGGCACAGAAAAAAAAGTAGTCGTTTAAGGGAAGTGGTCAATTGGAGAAAAATCAAGAACAAAAGCCGAGACCTAACGGGGCCACCACTCATCACTATTTTTTGCCGGTTACAGTTACGAAGAGTACCTTTCAAAAGAACATATACCATGCAGGCAACATATTACAGTACACTACTAGCTTTTTTTCATTCTTTGATGTTTACAGTTCGAAATGCGTTCCTTGTTAAATCACTTTCACTCACTTGGTTCAAACTAAACTTCCATTCAAGTGCCATATATGAGATACTGCATATCTATTTCCTTCGTGATGATTTTAGCTTTTTGCAATTTCTCAACAGTAATCATTGTTTGGTGGTTACCTTCCCGAACACACGAGTAATGAAGCTATCCAATTTTTTCTCCTGAAAATGGCTGCGCTCTCTTAAGAAGTTTGACGAGTGGTCAATTAAGAGGGAGTTCAGGAACTGTACTTGACTGATAAACGAAAACGTCATTCAGTCAACATGGAATCGCTTCGGTGAGAAAGTTGACTGTATAACAGTACTGGCAATTTAATTACTACTTACTGAGTAGGCAGGACCCATAGCCAAGACGGCATGGCCAGTGAGAGTAGCAATTGTAACAATGTGTGTGGGAACTTTCTCTTGGAGAGCCTGAAACAAAACGATTACACATTTAATACTGGTTCAATAATGAGACAGTTACTGTGATGTAAAGCGAGATTCAATTAGTCTCCTCGGACAATAAAGGTAAAGAGGTAAAGTAAAAGAAGGCGTGTGTGGGGGGTGGAGAGAGGAGGGAATAAAATAAGGACCAAAGGTTGGGAAGGAAAATATGGAATGAAAAGAGGAAAGACCAAGAACAGAAGGAAGGAGGGAGGGGGACGATGGAAGTATAGGAGGAGTAAAGGGAAGAACCCAAAATAAAAGAATGTAATCACGAGCTGTTAAAGTTTGAAACGCTCTAAGGGTTTTAGGTTCTTCGATTTTTCCGCCCTCCACAAAAACCAGAAACTCTAAACTTCAACTGAACCTAGTACAAACCAAGAAGATGAAGCGCCACACCCTGGTGTTGCCAAAGCTAAATTCTCATCTAGTTCATTTTATCAAGTTCTTCATCGCTTTCTTGTTACTCTTTGATGAGTATGTTACATTTTTTTGATTTGCTTTATGTTTAAATTCACAATATTACCTTGAGTTTCATATGATGCACACAATCAGCCATTGCCATGCGACCCTCAGCATCAGTGTTACCAACCCTAATCCTGGCCCCAGCGGCAGAGGTTATAATCTCATCAGCAACATAGCCCTCTGAAATTGTACATTTATTGAATTTTTTTTGGTGATGAACTCGCATAATTTAATTTTGCTTTTCTAAGGATGATAATAGTGAAGAGAAGGATTCATAATTGAAATTATAAATGAAAGAAGCACCTCCGCTCTGGTCAGTACTAATATTGTTGATGTTGCTAAGGCTTAAGGTATTAGAGCTGATTGAAAGTGAAGGTGACATTCAAGCCTTAGAACTTTAACTTTTCAATATGTGAACACAGTTAATTTAACATGTGGCTAAGATTTGTCTAAGACGTATCATCACAAGGGTACTTAAAATGCAGAATTTCGACTTGAGACACCATTTAGACTGTATGTGTTGCTTTACCTGCACCAACACTGTTGCGCACCATGGCCATTGTACCAAAGACTTTGATTCCTTTTGGTTTCAGCATAGCAAGAGTCTGAAAGATTAATGCTGGATCATAAATCACATTTTCTACTTTGGACAGAAATTAGAAGAGAGTAAATTGGAAAAAATGCCCTATGTTACTTGATATAAAATCATTATAACACACCTGAAAGAACCCTGCAACTGCAGCTGCACCACACTTATCCCTTAAAATTAAAAGAATACATGACAGAGATAATAATTTATAACTGTATGCAATCTCTTTAAGGTAAAAATAACACTGGTAAAACGATTTGTATGGGACTCAATAACATTTTTAAAGTTGAACAATTTGTGTTCGCATCCCTGTTTAACCACTGCTCTAACCAGTCATACCAACAAGTTGTTTTCTACAGAGTCGCTCATGTTTTAGATAATAAGTCAATATACTCAGGGTTGTTTTTTTTTTCATGTTTAAAAGAAATAGAAGCCATCAGATTAGGCGATCTTCTTTCAAATTTATATAAATTGAGGATTCTACACAACTTGCAGTGCTCTCTGATTGGTGCCCTTTCATATTCTATACACACAACAGTGTTACAATTAAATGCATACCAAAGCCCATATTAAGAGCATCTTTACCTACTCATTCCAGCCATGACCCCACCAGCCTTAATATCTGCACCACCTGTGTCATAAGTTACACCCTAAAATACAAAGAAATGAGTGCAAATAGTTATTGTCACATCCTAACATAGAATGACATACATCAGGACACAGATAAAAAAAAACAAATTTTGGAAAAGAATGAGCAAGAAGTGGAGTACCATGGAAGAATATTTGGTAGTAATGGACTGTGTCCATCTACTATGACCAAAGGCAAAGTCAAATTTTTCAAAGGGAAAGCACAAAAGAGATTACCCAAGATGAAATTGAGCATGAACACCCTTGGAGAATGACTGGATAACTGGTAAACAGTACAAATTGCTTTCATGTACTAACCTTTCCAACAAGAAGGACAGTGTTTTGAATGTCACCTTCTCCCACATACTCCAAGTTGATGATTCTACCAGTGTGTCTGTCAACAACTAAAATCAATAAGCATACTTAGTGTTTCAACAGTAAACATTTGACAAACAGTTTTTTAATTAACTATTGAAAATCTCTCTTCTTCTTTGTTTTTTTTTTTACATCTATTAAATAGTTAACTTTTTAATCATTGTTAGATCTTACTAGCTTAACCCTTTAACTCCCATGAATGACCAAGACAGAATTCTTCCTTACAATACAATATCAAGCAGACAGGTGACGAGAATAAAGAAAAATATCAATTAAGGGATTATAAGTTGATCCAATCCCAAATTCTCCAAACTAACATCACAAGAACTGTATGGCAGACAGAAAGGAGAATTACTAATGAGATTTTGGGAGTTAAAGGGAACATGTTTGGAGAAGTTCATCACCCTATATCCATTAATTGATTAAAAATAAAATGTAATTATATTAATCTGGTGAAACCACTGCAAAGAAAAGAATTATACTGTCAGCATTGTCATTATTTAGCAATTAAAAAATAACACACATGAGGTAGGAACATGAAGGTAAAACTTTTTCCATACCAAATTTTTCTGAAGACTTTGAACAGACAAACAGCAACATGAAATCTGTATCTTAAATAGAATGACAAATTACTTACCTCTTGCACATCTATTGACAGCTGCATACAGTGGATAGTTCTTCTCAAACTCAGCTGGATCTTTAACAACTGTCACCTAAATAAAATCAGGAAACATAAGATCGCAAAGGGATCCATGCAAGGGCCCATACATGTGAAGCTAGAGGTTTTGCAGGCAGGTGCTCAAGTTGTGCCCTTGAAGTTTCTAAATACATTTCAAACAATTCTTTGAGACCAAAAATTTGAAAACTAACAACTAAAAGTAAACTTTAACATTGACGTTGCCACATATTTAATAATGAAACAAAGTATGTTAAGGACAAATTAATAATCAAGATAGCTTACTTTAACTGGAGAACCTTCAAATAATTCACGAATGTACTCCTCCACCCGAGGGGCAGCCATTCTTTCAGGATCTGATCCACCAATGTCCTGACACACATACCTACAATACAAATCACACTACAATTGGTAAAATGCCAACCACAGTTCTCTCTTTCAGTTTTTGAAGGCACATTGTAGTCAGTTTGGTAATGATTGTGTGAGGATTTCCATTGAGCACTGTTTCAGTTATTTGATCACCAAGACAATGACCTCGGAAAACTTAAAAGAATGGTTTCCAGTGAGAGTGGTGTCTAGTCATGGTACAAATTTTGACGAAAAACCAATTGAAGGCAAAGATTCAGTTTACAGTAAAACATCCCACCCTTGTTGTGAAAAGGAGGATGTAGATGTATGATTGGAGGTACAGGTTTAGAGAGAAGTCTTCTGGATGACTAAAGTACAGCACTATTCTCCATAATTTTGTAAGTTATGGCTTTATGTATAGTACACCATAATATGCTTACCTTCCAGAATCGATTGCTTTGATGTACTCCACATTGCAGTCCTAGAGATTGACATAGTTATGTACATTTAGTGTAATTGGTCTAGTGATTATAGAAGTGCATGCACTCTGATTGGCCAAGGATTGCATCAAATCTCACTAGGTGTATTAAATTTCAAAATGGCTGCCTTGCATTTTGTCAATGTTTCCAAGAAATTGACACTGAATTGCATCATGTTACATGGAATTCTTTATGAAAAAAAGTCTTGGTTTGGGAAAACTCTTTAAGGCACTCTTGAAAGCATTTGTTGTAAACTGTTTAATTGTCTCTTAGATACATAACCAGCCTTGATGTTCTCTACTCTGTTACTGCATTGTTCATTAATTTGTATCTACCATTTTCACTCCCAACAATTTCTGAGCTTCTCGACTATCACTCCCTGGCTTGCAGAAAAATCCTGAAAATAACCTGCCTTCCTTAACTCTGTTATTGACTGCTTTTTATGATTACTTTCAAAAGCAGCCACCTTCTTTTCTTCAAAAGGGTGTCCCCATATGCTGATTGTTGGAAGCACTAAAGGCCTTTTTTAATGGAACTAATGTAATGATAAAACTAGTTTTATTTGAGTCAGCTCACTTCACCAAACAGTACCACTCCAAGGTGATCAACTTTTTGTTCCTTGTCTGGGAAAGCTTCTCGCAGTTCAATTGGCTAAACAAGAAAGTCAGAATTATCGATAAGAACTTCAAATGCCCCTTCTTCTCTAAACTCTTCAGTTACTTAATAAGACAAAAATTCCAAGGATTAGGAAATGACAAGAAAACTTGCTCATGCAGACAATTCATTTCATTAAAGGGAAAACTATTACCTTAGAGACTGTTATAGATTCACTGTACCTTCCCTTGTTTTGGTATGCTTTTCTTCTGAACATCATTTTTTCTTTCTTGTTGATTATGTTATATATGCTACATATGTTAATTACGATATAAATTATTTAGCTCACAAGCTTCACGAAGCATTATTTGTGAGTAAATATTCTACCTTTCCAAAACAAAAAGTGTTTATTAGACCTCTACTATCTATCTCTACAACACCCACTTCAGTCTCACAAAGATGACGTTATGGAGAGGTTCTCCAACTATAGTAAAGGAAATGCCAACTTAAGACATAAAGTCCCCCAAACCACAATAGGAACAATTATTATCTGGTGAGGTAGACCTGAGGCAAATCCAAATGTTCTATTGATTTATGTTCTCAGTCCATATTTTGCCATGAGGGCCATTTCCACAGAGAGTGCCATAATCTTAGCAATTTTTGTTCATGAAATCCCGCAAATTCAAGCCAAACAAGTTTGGTCTGAGTGCCATATAATAAACTACTTATTGACCTTACTTACTAAGCTGTGCAGGAGAATAATGGCTCTCAGTCATTTTAGTATGGACCTTACTGTAGTCAGTCCATACTGCCACAACACTGGGCTAATATTTCCCAGTAAGGCCTTCATGCTTGGTTAGTAAGAAGAAAATACAACACACAATTCAAAAATAAAATTTCTAAATAGATACCTGGATTAAAATCTGGCGGATTTTTCATTTTGGGTTTAAAACAAAGGTAAATTTCCTATATGTCACTCTTCGAAGTCATTGGATTATATATTACTGTGCCATTTTCCCCAATAGAGCAAACAGAAATTAAGTTCAAGTGAAATCAAAGCATCTCTGGAAGTCGTTTGACTATACCTCACACTAGAAACCTAGATTTTATGTAGTGATGACTAAATAATATCTAAATCACATGCTAAGTGATTCTTACCACATAGAGTGCATGAAGAGCTCCAAGAAGTGAAACAGACCATGCATTTGGGAATGTGTCTTTTGAAATGGTCACCAGGAGTGGGCATCTGCTTCCGCCCTTAAGAGCCCTTTGGAAAATGATTAAACATGATTATAATTTATCAACAGTGTGACAATTTCAACTGAGCCTGCCCAATGTATTTGCAACAGTATCATATCAGCCAAGGCAGTAAGGACTCACAAATGTAATACATTTTTATGCAATGCAGATCTTCCTTTCCTGACATGCAAGCATCTGTTCTTTGTTTTTCAGAGCATCCAGTCAGGGTAATTCCATGGCCATCCTTGCTGAGTTTGACAATACCAATGCAGAAAATGGCATTTTTTTGCATGTGGAATGTCTTAATTTTCAAATGGAAATTATTCAGACTTGTTCTCATACAAACCAAGATTCTATTTTGATTGGCTTTCAATTTGCTTCGAGTATCACATAGTCTTCAATCAGGTTACCCAAATTTGTTGTTAGATTAGCTCATGTCAAACGAAATTGCCTCTCTCATGATTTTTTTTCTCCTTTTCTCTGCACCTCAAAAGTTGGTTAAATATTCCCTAGATCAACCTAGATAATTCTGTCTTACTTTTCAAATCAAACCAAAATGTTCGAAATTCAATGAACATTAATTTATTTATTAATTGCCAAAAGACAAGTGAATGATTAATTTATCACATAATCATATTACTGCACAACTAATGAGCCTGAGCCTTTCCCTGACAAAAAATTATAGTTTTTACATTTCCAGCCCACATTTTCACTCAAAGTAAAATAAAAGATAACTCTGTTTTAAGACTTAAATACAGTGCTTCATTGTTATCAATAGTCACCTTGAGGTAGGCAATTATTTTAGGTCTTTTGCATATATTTTTGATAATTAATAAAATCTTTACCAAACATAACATGAACATCTCTTCTGTTCACCCAAGAAAAACCATGATATCAAAAAAAGAAGAAGTTATATGCACAAATGTACATATACATGTAGGAGAGAAAATGTTGTATATAGTAACTCACCTTTTAATTCCATTCACTGCTGCATCATAGTATCGTCTCACATCGTCATAATCCCTATTAACAGGGCCTGTTGGAGCATATACCTGGGTAGAGGAAATTATTAAAATATTGTATGTCGTGCAAGATGCTGTGGCCTAACAGATTGAGTGCTACCTTAACGCCAGATCCAGGGTATCTCTGGGTTTGAGACCTGGCCAGGTCATTTTGAGATGTTCTTGGGCAAGATATTCTTACAACTCACAGTAACTCTATCTTCACGGGGATATAAAAGGTTCTAACCCTTTAACTCCCAAGATCTGATTGTAAATTCTCCCATATAACTGACATACAATTCCTTTTAAATAAGTTATGAGAATTTGGTACTAGAACAACTTCTTCCTGATGAGTTTGAGTATTCTCATTACCTGGTGGCTGAATTGTATGGATATTATTGGGAGAAGTTACAAGTTAATCACTTCTGGGAGTCAAAGGGTTAACAGCAACCTGTCAGGGAGGCTTAACAGAGTGTTGATGGGGAAGGAGCTAGGGAATGATCTGCACTGCACTGATATCTCATTTAACAGTATTAATATTCTTACATTTAGTTGCTTCATGCTATGAACAGTGGGATAAGCTCCCCTTAGAGGGGCCACTTGGAACAAGAGCAGACTTTTCATGGAGACAAAAATTCGTAAATTCTTGGGGAAGAAACATCCTGTGGACCTTGACAAACTCTTCTTCTTTTTACATGATTAAGGGTTACTGCATGGACCATTCATATTAACAGAACGCTGCTCCACAACTACATTTTTCATAAGTTCCTTGCACCTTATTGAAAATTTCCATGAACTTACCACTGGCAAATCTTGGTCACAGGAAAACACCAATGTCTCAACTCCAACTGCTTTATCCACCTACAAAATTTTGTCTCAAACAGTTAGTGAGGTAATCTTGTTGTGAGATCAAATTTCAAATAGAGTTTCACAAGCAATATTTGTCTTATTTATTTAGCTAGAGCCAAACAGTTTTCCATCAGGCTCTCCTGCTCAGTCAACACCTACATAATAATTCAAAAGGAAAGTTACAAGTACCCTAAATGGATGTATCAATACCTTTGCAGCCTCCAAAATAGGAGTCTTCAGAAAATCCCACGCAGGGATACTCCAATCAAGATCTTTGCACACAAGGACATAGTAATCAAATGTACCTTGCTTGGGACCATTGACAGGAAAAATGGGACATGGAAGCCTACAGAGATACAGATGCAACAATGATGTCACTGTTTTAACATCAAATTCATATAGAAACTTCACTAGTTAACAGGTAATTATAAAACATATAAGGCCTCTGGCATATAACATTCACCCTTCACCGTATAAAATTCTAAAACCAGTTTAATTTACTTTTTTTACTTTCCTCTGTCTAAGATAATATGATACTTCCATACCCAGTGTCAAAGGAAGACCAAAATTACACAGGTTTAAAAAATTTTGGATGGATAAAGGATTGTAACCGTATAAAGGACAGGCAAGCAATAAATTAGACAACTTTTAAATCATCATGATAAAGAGCATGAACAGTGGAAAACATCAAGTACTGGAATTACTCCAGGAGATATGTGATTATAGCTTTTGCTGAAAATGAGCAAAAAGTCTCAAATTATACCAAAAGTTAAATGCTTATGTTTTTGTAAGGTAATTTATTTAATTTTAATCTTTTCTTGCAAAAGAGATGGAGCTGAACCTCTCTGCAAATATCTGTATTCTTCCTGTTATCTTGTAACCTGATATGCTTGTTTTGTCTCAAAGGGGATGTAATCCTGGCACAAATCCAATACAAATTAACTTATTCAGAGAGCATATAACAAAAGATATTCCTTATTATGATCATGCATTCATAATCCTTCTCTGACAATAGGTCATGTGACTTCAAGAACCAATCAATTTTGTCTCAGCCATTAACCCTTGAGACAGCTGTTGTTATTATGAAAGTTTACTGTGTGTTGTCAATTGAACTACACCCATAACCAAGCCATGACAGCATAATCTAACACCTTTCACATGATTTTGTTACTTTAGTGGTTACACATTTATTATGAAATAAAATATGACTGGAAGCTGCTTGTTTTTGATCAGGTAGGCGGTGGTTTTAGTATGAAATAGAAACAGTTCCTATGTCAATAATTAACAAAAATGGGACATGTGCCAAAAACCAAATGGACGAGGTTTCCTTGAACAGCAGGCCAATATCTACAACTGACAGATCTAAATAAATTCAATGTCTTTAGAGCAACCTTGGCTTACAAGGTAACCACATTTGAAATTGACACTTGAAGCTTAATGCAAATAAAAAAAAAATTGCACCAAGTTTGAAACACAAACACACCATCTGATATCATGCACAGGGGAATAGTTATCAAATTGGTAAGGAAGTTTCTGTCACCTTTATCGTATGACACACCCTAACCTTATTACAACATTCCGTTTCAAAATAAGATGGATAAATGCACGTTCAATAACGGATATTTCTCTGGCTAAACAGGATCCTTCTATCTCTCAAAAGCTGTAGGAAAGCAATTGGAAATATAGAGTACATATGAAAGAGAAAGCGGAAGTTCCTGCATGAAGTGAGAGTGAATACCAACACAAAACAATCTCCATTTTCAATTTTCGTATTTACAGAATAACAATTTTCCTTAGTCGTGGATAGCTAATGTTAGCTTGGAAAGGCCAGTCTACAATAACCTAACAACAAATATTCAATATCTATGAATAAACTTTAAAAGGAAAACATAGCGAAAAGTATCAAAATTGGAAATCGTAAGGGTGCAGCTTCGTGTTTGGCGTTTGTCGGATTCAACTCAAGCTCTTGTTAACTTCAGGGAAAAACAAGCTTGATCGCTTGATTCTTTCGAGGCACACTTGACTTAAAACGTACATTTTTTGTCGCAATGTCCTCAAACTATCTCAAAGTTACACTAAAGATTGTTTGAAAAGAAAGTGAAACGTAATGATTGATCGACAACAGACAGCACAGCACGCACGAGCAACAGATGATGTAGTAAAACACACGCAGAGCTACCTTCGAAGTAAAATGTGCGCTTCAGTAAGACATCTAGCTAAAATGGATAAGTTTGTGGTTCAATACTTGCCTCATTTTCTTCTCCTCAGACATCTTGCCTTGCAGACCAAAAGCACTGCAAGAATTAAGCAAATAACTCACGTAAGTGCGCGCTATTAACAATGCACTTACTACTTCGTGTAAAATTCATGATGCAAACTGTCTCAAATAGGATCTTCCTCTAAATGTCGAGGAAATTAATCCAAGTACGTATTCATTTATAAGAAATTGGATTCGGTGAGAAATAATGCTCTGAGTAATTATCAAGCATTTGATCGAAGATTCCCTGAAGCACTAAGTGACCAGCATCAAATTTCTCCAAACAGTAATACTGCTGAATCATTTACTAAGATCACGTGAGTATCACCAACCTATGAGACTTTAATAAATTGTATAACCAGTACTAAAGAACACTTAAGGCGTAAAAGGTTGATTATGTCACTTTACCTTCCGAAATGAGTTATCACATTGCTGCATGGTCCTTATTTCAGAATATCACACAAAAATTGCAATAAATTGATGGAAGCAATAGAACTTTCCTTTTCCTTAACCTACGAGTTCGATGTTTTCCTTTGAGTTACGTTGTTTCTGTAAGGTTAGCCGTAACCGCACTCATGTGGAAACCGCTTCGTTTCTACAATTTAACGGAGTCAAAATCCTAACATATTACAATATAATGAGTGAATATTGAGCTTTACATACAAGTAACTTGCGGCGGAAATTGTTTACTAACTTTTGCTTTTTTGCAAGCCATCCCCAGCCACGGGAATTTGAATAAGATTGTGGGCCTCAGGGTTAGAACATTTGACTTTTCCGCTTGGAGAGATATGTTTCGCAAGCTTTTTATTCTTTCGTTCATAGCTACCGGGCATGAATATGACATGGTTTGATGCTACTCTGGTTTGAAGATTTAAAAATTCAACCAAGAAGTTACATTTCATAGACCCAACGTACCGACACTCCTGTCTAGTGCCTTCACCAGGGGTGATCTAATCGTTGCAACAAGAGGTCCTTTTATATGCTCACTAATTAGGTGCCCTCTCTCCTGACGCCTATTTACACCTCGTCAGAAAAAAGGGCAACTAATTAGTGAGAATATAAAAGGACCTCTCGTTGCAACGATTTGATCACCCCTGATAAGGGCACTTGACAGGAGTCTTGGGTCTATCAACTGTAACTTCTCGGAACATTTATTAATTCGCTAAACCAGAGTAGCATCAAACTATGTCTGATTGTCCGCCTGGTTGCTTTGTGAACTTTAATATTGGGCATGAATTTCCAAATTGAAAAATAAATAAATGAATGAATATTGCTTTAACGCGAAAAAAATGGTAGATTTGTTCATACTTTCTTCCTCATAATGTTCAAAGCATTGGAGGAAATTAAAAACAGCAATCATTAGGTAATAGGGTAAACCCGAAATTTTCAATGGTGTAACGGATATTGGGGAAATTTTATCTGAATTTGACCGGGTGACCCTAAAAGCTGGAACGGTGGAATGGAGGAATGGAGGAATGGAGGAATGGAGGAATGGAGGAATGGAGGAATGGAGGAATGGTGGAATGGCGGAATGACGGAATGGCGGAATGACGGAATGGCGGAATGGCGGAATGGCGGAATGGCGGAATGGCGGAATGGCGGAATGGCGGAATGGCGGAATGGCGGAATGGCGGAATGGAGGAATGGAGGAATGGCGGAATGGCGGAATGGCGGAATGGCGGAATGGCGGAATGGCGGAATGGCGGAAAATGACCCCAAA